GTAAAATCCTTGTTACAAATAAAAATCAGTCATGATTTAAAAAATTACATTGTAATATTCTTAAGATTTCGTTTAAGCTCATTAACGAAATACGTTATGCTAGACATAATATCTACAAATATTACTTAACCTAACAAGAAGAGTCATGGATTCATTCAAACCATGTTAGATGAAAGATGTCAAAGAAAGTATAAGTATGTCGCGTTCTACTATCATTCACATTAAGTGAAATTTTTTCTGATATACTGAGTGATAAAAAAGGTAAACACCTACGTATGTTTATCCGATTTTAATAATTTTTGGCATATATGTTCAGTCTCCCTTGCTAGTAAAATTATCTAATTTTCAGCTTGATTCATCAGCTGACAGCAGAAGCTGGTCCAATAATGTGTTGAGGATCCACGATTATACACTCATTGACATGCATGCGCATCGTGCTGATAAGGTGGTCGATATCCTGTTGGGGAACCTCAATCCATGTTACTGCAACTTTGTGAGTAAGAGCGGCTAAAGTTGACTAGGGATGGCTCGAGTACTACTAAATCTGTCTCTCAGAGCCAGAAGTCTAGGCCGGCGGTCTTGTCGCTCTGTGGTCCTTCTGGGATTTCCAGAACCCCTCACTCGCTGTCCTCGGCCTTCCTGAGTCCGCGCTCGTTCAAACTGCAGTATTCTGCGTAAGGATCTGTCGGTCCTTCCAGAAACTTCTCTTATCGATAGACCGGCTTCACGCCACCCGACAATTCGACCGCTCTCAAAGTCACATAGCTGGGACACCCGGCGATTTCTACCCACTCTAGGCATTTTGAGCAATCAGAAAAAGGCTTCTCAATAAGCTACCCAAAATTTAACATTCAACTGACACCGTAAATGTACGAAAACTGAATGCTTCTTTATCACCAAACAATACACGCAGCCACCACAAAAACTTAACAGGAAAACCTGACCATTTTATCACGTTTTGTTCATGACAAGATAAATCGATATTTAAAAATCTCTGAATTCTAGTAAACATACGTAAATGTTTAACCTTTTCTTGTCTCTCAGTATAGTTGAAGACAATAATGTGACCATTGATAATCTTGTGCAAGAAAAGCAGGTCAAGTTGCAATCTGCGTCGCTCAAGAGAAATCATATTCATGTAGAGAAGAGTATCAGTATAATTATACTCCTCCCTAACGAAACCCATTATATATCCACATACCCTCAAAAATGTTTTCTGAACACACTCTGATTGGTTGATCTGTAAGTCATAACTTGGGGACCGGATGAAGCAGCAATACTCAAGTAACGAACCAATCAAAGAACAATATACATATAGAATTTTAAAAGAAAACAGTGGAAGCTCAACACAATCCCGATTTATAAAACCTAACATCTAGTTGGTTGCTTTTCCAATATGTAAGTTGAATGATAATTCAGAGTATACATTAATTACCAAGTCCTTGATCTGGTCTGTAGCTAGTAAAGATTTAACGTTGTTACTATAAGAGTAAGTAATAGGAGAACGAGGCCGACTAAATGTAATTTTGGAAGATTTCGCATAATTTAAATTCAACCCACACCAGTGAGAAATATGGCCTGTCGATTTGCAGCAATTGAGCATCATGTTTGTCCAATAACTCTAAAAATATTAACCTCCTAAAATAAAACTATTTCACTGCGTACTTAACTCAAACGATCATTAATAAATATATCAAGTAACAATGGATCTAAGTGGTAAACGCGCGGGAATCCATAAGTTGCACGAATACTACTAGATGTTCAAGAGCTGACTTTGAACACCATAGCCCTTAAGTTTGGACAATAGTATCGAATGGTTAATTAACCCTATCGAACGCTTTAGGAAAATTCAAATAAACAGCATGTTGTTCAGAAAACTGCTGAGAGACATTGTGTAACGTATGTCCTAAATGTTTTGGCACATCGGATTTTTTCTTAATGAAACAATTTATTTAAGCACTAACCAGTTATCATAATTTACAACTCAATGCTTAACTAAACTATACTATCGAATTATGTGTAGTGGCCCATTCTGCTCTACCAGACGCGACTTCCTACGAATGTCTGCCACGAGGTCCTGGACGCAGTTCAGATCAATTTCTCTCAGATTTTCGTAAATTCGCCATCTTAATTGGTCTTCATCTTGAGCTTCCCAGCCTCCATCATAAACCTTCCTAGACATAAAAGCCCAATAATTAATCGATCAAACGAACTTACCTTAAGTGAAGTTCGATCGTGATTATACGGGAAGACATCACTCCCACCCCTTTTTTCAACCCTCCCAAGTTGCGAGCAAGTACCATTTCTTTTAACAAATGACTCAACGTGCAAGACCAGGGTGCGACGGGACGGGAGCGGGGATCTCTTGTCTTTTAACTGGGTGTGCGGCAAGTACTCCAGGGCCGGACTACATAGTAAATAAACAAAGTGATGTCTTCGGACTGGTCCTAAAGTATAATTCTTTATTGTTCGAGCCTGCGGCAAGTTTGAAGGGTTACCGTTTTTGGGAACAAACATGTACGTGGACAAACTGAAGCAATTTGGAAATCCATATAGCTATTATTAGTCTATTCAAAGCTTTACCCCTCACTCTTCCCACAAAAGGTTGTGTTACACCCCTGTTAGAAACTGCGTACCAGGCAAGGATTTTATCTCCAACTTTCGCTTTATGTTCGTATCTTACATTGTCCGGGCATTCCTCTAAGCTGCCCGTATAAAATCCGTCGTTACCCTTCATTTCAGAAGTACTCAAAGTGAAATACTTTTCGTCATCTGAAATAATGAGTTTTCCATTGGCAAAGTGTACTCCAATTACAGGTGTAACGCGAGTTCATTGCGGCTAGAATGAGAAACGAGAAGGATAGCGCTAGTTCTATGTTCTAAGGATTTTTGGTGAATGTTTGTTTTTAGTGACGTTAAAGATTAATAGTGATAGTTTGCGACAATTATTATAAACATTTTTATGCCGGACATTTGTATATGCAGGGTGACTTCGAAGTTGAGTCATTTATTTTAACAGTGAGTAGATCTGATCAAAAGAAATGTTTTTTCCTTTACCATTTTTTTGGTAAAATTAAAGTAACAAAGTTATAGCCCTTTGGAAGTTTGAGTACCGCCCTGTCTCAATAATAATATCATGTGCTCGTGTTTGGCGACAACGGATATAATCCGCCGTATCGGTTCATCGCATCGGAAACAAAAAAGCGAAAGAATTTGGAACGATGTTTTTACAATTATTTCATTCATTTGTATACAGTCAGTGTCAGTGAATAGTGGTATCTGTTGCGTGGCTCAAACGAAATAAAAAATGGCACGTGTTTATTCGGATCGGTTTCCCAATCGAGTGCAACCAACCCGTCGTGCCTCTGTTAATGTAGTTCAACGGGCTCGTGAATCAGGTGACTTAAGACCTCACAGGGGACCTCACGATCAAATACAGGTCCGCACTGAAATACTTGTCGGGAGGATACCTTATAAAACAAGGTAAACGTTTTTTTTTAATTTTTTTTTATTTTTACACACATATTTTGGTTTATCTTCCTTCTACAATCATTATCTGAAAATGAATGACTCAACTTCAAAGTCACCCTGTATATTTGTGATGTAGTTCAACATATAGCAGGTTTTGTTAAAAAAATTGTTCAAACCTTGAATTGTAATGAATGTGCCCGATCAGTGACAACATCTGATTCTGCTCATGCTGCTGAATAGGAAAAATAGAGGAGGTTTAATCAAGCCTACAAAAGAAGGTATAATAAAAACTGAAAAAAACTTGTCTCATCCTAATATAGTGTTGAGATTGGTCTCTGCTGCAATGAGAAATTTAAATTTGAACGAGGTTTTTTTATGTTTATCTAAGCACTCTCTAGAGCAAGAATCAGTTGATGGACATATCATTCAATTGGTCAGACTTATCAGGAAAAATTATTTCACTATTCGGCTTCACCACATAAATTCCACAAAAAATCAAAGAACAGACAAAATTAAGCAAAGGTTAACAAAAACGATTCATTTTAAAAATCAGTAAATCGGCAATTTTTAAATTAGGTATAAACATATAAATTCACAGATGAACCCACTACTCATTAATAATCTTTTAAAACTTCCTTTTAATTTTTTTCAGGGATATAATTTCTAGAATGAACTATGGGATAACCTATATTGCATTATAATGAAAAACTGTGGACAAATATTTTGTATACATATACAGGGTGACTTTGAAGTTGAGTCATTAATTTTCAGATAATGATTGTAGAAGGAAAATCTGTGTGTAAAAATAAAAAAAAAAATAAAAAAAATTGTTTACCTTGTTTTATAAAGTATCATCCCGACAAGTATTTCAGTGCGGACCTGTATTTGATCGTGAGGTCCCCTGTGAGGTCTTAAGTCACCTGATTCACGAGCCCGTTGTACTACATTAACAAAGGCGATTGGGAAACCGATCCGCATAAACATGTGCCATTTTTTATTTCGTTTGAGCCACGCAACAGATACCACTATTCACTGACACTGACTGTATACAAATGACTGAAATACTTGTAAAAACATCGTTCCAAATTCTTTCGCTTTTTTGTTTCCGATGCGATGAACCGATACGGCGGATTATATCCGTTGTCGCCAAACACGAGTACATAATATTATTATTGAGACAGGGCGGTACTCAAAGTTCCAAAGGGCTATAACTTTGTTACTTTAATTTTACCAGAAAAATGGTAAAGGAAAAAAACATTTCTTTTGATCAGATCTACTCACTGTTAAAATAAATGACTCAACTTCGAAGTCACCCTGTATATATATATATATATATATATATAAGGGTTTTTTCTTTGTACACTTTAATCTCTACAAAACTGGACGTGTGCCCACTACATTTAGTGTTGACAGCTACAGCACTATAAAAACAAATTTAAATATGCATAATTACTATTTGGAACATTAGAAAGATATATAGAAAATAACATGTATTTATTGTGATATTTCTTAAATCTCAAGGGCAGTTATGTTAACTATAAGCAGAAATGTAATCTCTTTGCTACCTGAATTATTAATGATGTTAAAAACTAATTTTTATATCTTCAAATGTGTAAAGGAGAATTTATTGTCAAGTTTCATACATATGTATATATAAATAAACTTGGTACTTTAATTATAATTACGTTTCCAGGATTGTATCTCGTTCCAGTTGCCTGAATAACTTTTAAATCTTATCTAAGAATCCTGGGCTTCCTATGCAATTCATTCAAGTCCGCACAGTTTTTGCCCTGACTAGCTCCATCTCTCTCGGACCTCTTTGTCGTATGTTGGCCGCATTATCCTTTCATTGTACAAACGGGACGGGGCGATTCCATCAGTGTTGACAGTTCATTGGTGTGCACCTGCCTTGACAGTTTTAGGGGCACTTAAGTCTTTTTCGATATTTAAGACCATTTTTCCTAAATTCTAACGAGGTCTTAGAAGATCTGCATTGACGAGTCAGTCTCCCTATTGACATGCCAACCAGATTTTTTGCTCATGACCTCTGTGCAATAAATAAACGTGTTCTTCCACTTTCTTATTTCTAATCTGTACGACATCTTAAAGCAAAATCTTCAAAATAAATCAACGTCAACTGACTGTAAATTAGGTAAGCAAACTTTTGTTTCCAAAGGCAACTTGATATTATTTTTCGTTTGTTAAAATTAAAGCCAATGAATTTTGTGTCAAAACTTATTGGACATGTTATGTAAGATTTAAAGATAACATATTTTTGCAGTGTAGGTACAGCTCCTATTCTTTAGGACTGTACACTGGCGTATCTAAATACAGTTCTGGAGAGGCCTCAGCAGGGTAACCACAGACACATTGGGACCGTTCACCCAACGAAAAGTGGTCCAGCGATGCCGTGCTTCTTGCTGAATAACAGTAGTTGTGGCATAGCTTTGTCAGTTGGCAACATTGACGAACATAGTATCAGATCTGCCAAGTAAAAATTACTGTTAAACTGACAAAGCCTTCCCAAGGCTACTGTCATTCAGCATAATAGCGCTGGACCGCTTCCTGTACATTGGCGGAACAATCAGTTTTACTTATTAGTTTTTCGGCTACTCATTTTTACTAAATTTTTCCTGAAATGCTCATCTCTCTATTTATTTTTAAATGTTCAAAAATGTAGTGATCTGCTCAGGTAGTTCAATGAAAAGAATAAGCATACTCCCATTTCTCTTCATTTCTGATGAATATATGTGTTTAAGTAAGTTCTGTTTAAGCATATTGCTCCCACCCTATCTTTAATTTTTTCAATCGCTACTGGTAATTTTTCTTCCCAAAATTCTTGTTCTCACTTTTTTCGAGATTCCGGCCTGTGAACAATATCATAAAGCCCCACCTCTGCATGTGTTATCAAAGGGGTTTGCAGCAAGCGCTTGTGACGCTTTCACATGTTCAAACATGATTAGACATGTGGTGCACAACTAAACAGAACTTCGTTTGGCTCAACGCAGTACTTAGTTCAATTAACCCTTAACCACAGACATCCGGTCAAAATGACCGGCTGCAAATTTCAACTGCTGAAATTCATCGCATCCCCACCACTATCGCTTATGAGCTTCTACATACCTTCCTAACACTTAGTTTGATGCTATTAGCCGGTGGATGGAGACTGTATTACTTGAAGCAAGCGAAATATCGTAGTTCAAAGTTCGCAACCGGTAATAAATACCGGAGGTCTGTATAAACATAATAATTTGGATATGTTGAATTATTATTTTTCTGATGTTTTTAGCCTTATAAATTGAGTATGGACTCTAATTCTGGGCCCTCAAAGAGAGTAAAATATGGAGATGCTGATTTTGAAGCTACTTTACTGAAATGGGCAGAGGAAGTCGATTCTGGTGGAAGCGATATCAAATCAGATGGCGACTATATAGTATCGGATCATGACACTGAGTCGGAGGTTGAATTCGACGAAGAGGACAACGAAAATCTAGGTGAAATCAGTCATACCGAGATAATCCAGAAATGAACCGCTATCATTTTGGAAAAAAGTTAGCAGTGCTTTTGGTAACTCCACATATGCAACGCCGATATTAAAATGTGCGTATTGGTCGTGAAATTAAAATATCTATAAGACGCATACTACAATTGGAACAAGAAGAAAATCCTATGGAAGGTGATAAACTGAATACAAGAACAACTTGTAGACGTTGTCCCTCGAAGAAGGAGAGAAAAACGTTACATGTTTGTACGTATAATGTGTAAATCTCCAATATGCATGGAATTTGCAAAGAATTTTCCATCTAAATATGCTAATAGTTTACCCTTTGCAGATATTTTTATATAGAATGTTTTTAGCTTTGCTTTGATGTTATTTTATTCAGAATAGTTTATTTAAATTATTTATGTGCGAAAAAATGTTGCATACGTTTTTATTTTATTTTTATTTATGGCTCTGTTACACTTGAACAAAAATATAGCAATAAAATATTCTTTTCCATACTCTACTCTTATTTCATTCAAATATAGTTAAAACTACATCAAATGCTAATTAGAAAGATCTAAGAGTTAATCCGCATGCTGCAAAAAAATTAAGATTTTGTTGTTCATGTATACTCAAAAAAGACAACCGGTCAAAATGCCCGGTAGTCTGTGGTTAAGTCCTACAAACGTGACCTCTGTAGCTCATTAATTCAACTCTTTTGAGTTTAACTCAGGAGCAAGAAACACTGTATTTCTAATATCTAGTGCCTTATAAGGATAAAAATAAAAGGCCCCAAGCGTTTCCAACTATGCCACCTCGTTGTATACTAAGCATATGATCAAACCAGAATTTTTTGAAAAATTAACTTTCCTCACACTCTCCCGCACCGAATTAAACCCTGATTCAACCTCAATCTTATTTAGTATATATAACGATATATCGATCTCTTTTTTCGGGAACTAATAAATATTCACATTCCAGAGCAGTCTACAAATTTCGCGTATGATTACACGAAGTCCACTGAACTTGCGGATGATGATGCGTGTCTGCAGAGATTATCTTTGGCGTACGAACGGCTGCATATAATGCCTAGGATTTTGCTGGAGGGGCTGGCAAATCACGTCAGAATATTGGATATAAGTCACAATGAATTCGAGTAAGTCCAATTAAATATATCAAAAACATGCTTTTCTTTATTTAAACTTGAAAAGAGAAGACAATCTTTCAAGACTCTGTTCATTTTGGGTGCCGCTAGAAAATAAAAATATGTGAAAGCATTCAAAACCTCACAGTAAATTTTGAGAGATTTTCAAGTTGCATGCTGCTTGAATAGTTTGATCTTTGATATAAACCCATCCCCAAAATTGTTGGGAACTCCGAAAGCATACAAAATAAAATAATTTGTTTAAGCCTATCCAAAGATATGAAAAATGGTGGCATGTATTTGGCTGCACATCTCTCCAGGATATTGTGACAACTCATCAATATACAGGGTATTTGGTATATGAGCTGAACATGTTTAACACCCTGTATACTCGATTTGTTGGATTTGATAATACTAAATTCATCCTCATATTTTTCATGTTTCAGCAACTTAGATTTCTTAAGTGAACTGAAAGTACTGACATCTCTTATCTGTGATCACAACAACATTACCTCCGACACCACGATACCATACTTACCTAAACTAGAATTGCTCTGGATGAACCATTGCAAGGTCAGTAATTGCGCTACATCTATAAAACTTGAAAGATCATAAGGTTATACTATTTTTCAGATATCAGAACTGTATCCATGGGCCAAAAGATTATCACTATCGTGCCCTAACTTAAAGTATTTGTCACTCATGGGAAACGCTATAACTCCGACTTACTTGAATTGTGCTAACATCTACGAAAAAATTCACTATAGGTAAGTAATCGAGAGCGCTGTCAAATAAATCAAAATACCCGATTTACGACTTGCTGTTTGAAGTTTTTGAGCTGTATGAGTAGTTTTAAGACAATTACTTCGGATATCTCTTCCATAACTTAATTTTATTGTAAGCTTTACTGCGTATGCGGGTGAACAAATCTTTTCAGTTGCCATTCGAAGGATTGATATATAACTCTGTAGTCGTTTGGTCTTTCTCTTGGGGACCTTGTAACTGCACGATTTCAGTACAGATTTTGGTGTTTAAAGAGGACCTTACGTTGGTGCCTAATATATATATATATATATATATATATATATATCCTGTATATATATATTCTTCAACACCCGTATCTTTTTAATGAAGCCCTGGAGGAAAAAATGTTACATAGAAGACCCCCCTTAAAATGCGGGCCTGCGTATGATGTCTCATTTTTGGCCACGACTTGTGAATCACCGTGTATATTGCTATATTTTTATACCATAGCATTTTCCGATGCCTCCTCATTATATCTTTTCACCCATAAATTATTTTTTTCAGATTGTTTATGGTCTCCTTGTTTCGAAAACTAGTCCACCTAGACGACAGAGCTGTCAGCAACCACGAAAGAAACCAAGCACAAAAACTCTATCCAAGGTCCCTAATGGAAAGGCTGGTGACGAAATCGCAGCAAACTATGCCGGAGTGTCTCAGAAACGTTTCAGGAAAGGTATCGGAAATGTTACAGGTCACTCCTGACTTCATCAGCGAGCAGCTCCATCATAAGAAAAACGGAATTATTTGACGTCTACTACGTACTTAGATATAGTAGCGTTGTTACTTTTGCTAAACACAACATGTCAATAAAGTTTTGGCAAAGCATATTTTATGAAATTTGTTTTTAACAAGTTCGAAAAACTTCCTCCCCCTTTCAACATCAAGATTGTTTGCAACTGTGTGAAAATGTCGTTGGAAACGGTCACAATGAATTCGAGCAAGTCCAATTAAACATTTAAAAATGCTGTCCTTCACTTGAACTTTAAAAAAGAAAACAACCCTTCAAGATCCTGTTCATTTGGTGTGCAGCTAAAAAATAAAAACATGTGAAACAGGCAATTGAAAACATTTATTAAAAATACGTCGTTTAGGCAACTTTAAACGCCATCTTCTGGTATATGTGAGAAAAGAATATTAACCCTGGAATACTAACCTTGATTGTCATTCCTTTAATACTAACCTTCGTAAAAATGACGACGGTGCTCTTAAACGAACACACACCCAATGAATATCGAACCCTTTCTTACACAGTACCACCACAGTACTGTGATCATACTGGCTTAACAGAAAACTAGACGAGTAGAATTTACAATGGTCAGTATTCCAGGGTTAAAAAATGTAAAATAGAAAGACTTACTACTTGGTAAAGATAATTGAATTTCTGCCAGATAGATGTCGGTAGTTTGGTAGTGTGGTCTATACCCCATTCGTAGTCCATTTACGCCCAGACAAAACACAACATGCCCAAAAGCGAGATAGTACAGTTCTGTATTTTTCTCAATGGTCTTGGAATAATCTAACAAAGTGAATGATTAATTTTATAGGAAGAAGTGCACATACTTTTCACAGTCCCTTATTTGCTGGAAGTACTTGAATCATCATCCGAATGGTTAATATTATTTTATTACAGGTTCAATTTGAATATTGATCATTTTGTCCAGATTACACATCTTGTTTCGATTGCCTCTTGAACGTGACAGATGCAGTCTTCCCAATGGTTTGCCATCACTATGTTGACAGCTTCTAAAACAAATTTTCACGTCAGAAAATTTGAATGTTCTATAGTTTGAAGCCACATAGTTTTTTATATTTTCCCAAATCATTTCAATGGGATTTAGTTCGCAGTGATAAGAGGGTAGCCTTAAAACCGTTTTATTTTGATTTATAGCCATTTTGTCAATAACATTAAGATTATATTTATATTTGTGGTGCCTGGATAAGTTCTGCTTTGACCATATTTTCATTGAAACTAATATCTTTTGATACCAGCCATTGTTGAGTTTTTGCCTTCCTTGTGGACATAGTGGGAATTTTTTCTAGTTTTCTAGTGTGGTATGCAGCATTACCAAGTACAATGACAGCACTGTCGTCAAGCTTTGAGCGCGTTTCTTCATACCATCGTTCAAATAAACTCCCGTCCATTTCTTCATGGTAGTGGGTCGTTTTCTTTGACTCTAATGTCCATAGGGCAGTGGGCCAAATTCCACCTTCACTGCCATGGTGACAAATAACAAATTGTTTTTCTTTTTCTGGAAATAATTATTCCATATAGTATTCAAGAAACCGAATAATAATATAAGCAGGGTATCTATCAGGTGTAGGTTCCAAATCTACCAGTTATAGCTAAGTTTAATGTAGTTAAGTTAAGCGTGGGCTCATAGATTCAGTCTACTTGACACCATTTTTACAATACAAATGACGAATTGGTTAGCTACACGTACCTGACGGATTCGTTGGGCCAGTGCTTAGTCCATCTAAGAAGGCTTGCCTTGCTGAGTAAACTATAGAATGCGGTCCTTTTGAAAGAAGGTAAGTCTTCATAACTATTAAACTCCTGTAACACTTTGTCTATGGTGGGAAGTTCCTGCCTTTCAAAAAATTGATGGACTTTGCGTCTCATGGCATTCCGATCAAAGTTATAAGCTGTATCCGACAGCTTCGTGTAATGCTGTCTCTTGTGTGGTAGACACAGTCTTTTGTTTTTGTTATATTCTTTGAAAATATTGAAAATTGTCTTAGGACATAAGTACACGTCTTTCAATATCATGAATCTTCATTTCAAGATGTTCTAAAATTTCGCTCTTACAAACGTTAAGGACAATTCAAACGTCCCTTATTGTCACGTTTTCGGGGAGGAGGCATCTTTGAAAGGGAAGCATGGCTGAAGGAAGCAATTGGAGAAATATTCTCAGTTTCATCTACTGAATACGTAGACGACACGCTATGTATGCACCGAATATGAACAGCAACTGCCGGCGTCGGCGTGCCGGCGATACGCTGAGCCTGAGTTCTATCCTGTCCAATACTATACTTATTCGTAGTTTTATGGCCGAGTGACCAATTGCTATTGCAACGCTTAGGCGGTTGCCGCTTTGCATCTCTACGAATAGGGTATAGAAGTATTTTTATTGTCAGCATAAAGTAGAGAGTACACCAAATTTAAAATAAAAACAACTCATTGACGAACAGAGCAAAAAATGTATATCACTGCCTTATGTCCCAAAATCTAACTGAAAATGTAAATAGATTATTTCGAGACACAAAGTTCATGTAGCACATAAACCTGTTGCAAATTGATTTACAAAATAACATGCAAGGATTGACCAAGCTCATATATAGACAGAATAAACAATATATAAAGAAAAGGGTGTATAAGCATGAGTATAACATAAGAAATGAATATGATATGTCCACCGCATCAACGAAACATGCAATTGGCTTAAATTTGATTGCACAGATGTAAAAATTCTAGTCCAAGAACTGGACTATTTCAAATGATATAATCATATATGTTAGGGAAGACACTACCAGTATAAATTATAGAACTGATACTGAAAATTCATCGGCACAAATTTAATAAAAAGTGAGTAAATTTAATAAAAATGGCGTAGCTGTTGCATTCTTCACCCAAACTACCCACTCCATTGAGTGAGATAATATTCTTGTATACATTTTAACCGTTGTTTATATCTTGATTTTTATCAGCCAATATTTATCGGTCGTTGACCTACACTCAAACTACCAAGTCTATCTGGCAGAAATGCAAGTTTTTTTTTTCCAACTAGTGAGCCTTTCTGAATTAATTTGACTAACGTATTTTGTGTAGTAATTTCTGATACTTTTGTTCAGTTTTAGAAACATTTATTCGTCATATTTGTAATAAGCTCGAATTGATTTCAAAAGTCAGGAATACAAAGGTGCAAAGTATATCTACTAAGTGACATATAAATCCGAACACCCAGTTTAAATGGTTATATTTTAATAAAAGTTGGTGAATGTATTTATCTTACTGTAAATAACAAGTGAAATAATTTTCAGCCTTATCAGTTGGACATTCCGGTTTTTATACTGCTTTTTTTTAATTCACTAACGCTCTAAAAATGGATATTTCAGCCGCAGTAAAGAATCAACGTTGGCGGTGTTGTCAGGCATGGCTTCGAGAAGGCCGTACGCAAAGAGCAAGGGGCACTGGACGCCGCCGTAGAACAACAGACCGTGAAGATCGCCGTCTGAGATTATTGGCCTTAAGCGACCGTTTCTCCACTACCAGGTCCATTGCAAATGAATGGTTTGCAGAACACGGAAGATATATTGGCATGCGAAGTGTTTACTGATTAATGAGAAGTTTTGGCTTGTTTTCATACCGGCCACACTGGGTCCTCCCTTTAACTCGAGAACACCGACAGAATCGCCTTGAGTGGTGCAGACAACGGTCACTCTGGGATCAGGAATGGAACAGTATTGTCTTTAGTGACGAGTCTCGATTTTGTTTAGGCATGCACGATGGTCGTGCCAGGGTTAGAAGGCGACCTGGTGAAAGGAGGAATCCACAGTTTTTTGTTGAAAGACATGTTCATCACACTGTTGGAGTTATGGTTTGGGGTGCTATAGCTTATGGTTCTAGGTCACCTTTAATCTTCATCAGAGGTAACATGAACGCGCAGCGTTATATCCACGAAGTTCTAGAACCCCATCTTTTACCCTATCTTGACACCCTGACAGATCCAACTTTCCAACAAGATAATGCCCGACCACATGTTGCAAGAGTCACAATAGACTTCTTTCAACATAATGATGTCACATTGTTACCATGGCCACCAAGATCTCCCGACTTATCCCCAATTGAGCACGTGTGGGTTATGATGGGTAGGATATTGCTCAATTTGCAACGTCCTCCTCAGACTCTAGAAGCACTTCGAGAGGAGTTGGTGGTTGCCTGGAATGAGATACCACAGGAGGGCATTGAGCACCTGATCAGAAACATGCCTAGGCGCGTTGGAGAATGCGTAGCACATCAGGGTGCATCCACACATTATTAAAGGTCAGAGGGCTTTAAAGCAGTGCAATCATTTTGAAATTTTTATCATTTACTTATTATGCCTCATTAAGTACTTATACAAAATTTTATTAAAATAAAACCATTTAAACTGGGTGTTCGGATTTATATGTCACTTAGTATATTTCAAAAGGTTGATATGGAGGAAGATTGCTGCTAGTACGGGGAGGGACAAAAATTTGTGAGAATCTTCATCATTTATGAATTTCGTTCAATTGGGAAAACTCTCAAAGCGACATGATGATTGGGTACGTGATTTCCAATTTGAGGTATTGGGTATGCTGTTGAACGTTTTCAGATAAAACAACTACAACTCTACTTACAGCTCGTCATGTGTAGAAAGAGACGTCTTCTCGGTGCGCAGTAGCTATCGGCTCAATTCGCCGGACGAAGCAGTAGTCTCTTGTCGTGTCTATGTCGGCGTCAAACGCTGAAATCCGTCATTTCCTGGAATGTCTAGTCAGCCCCCGTATTGCCGGCAAACACCGCAACAGTTTGATTATTACAACATTTGACTAAGAATTTCAGACATTCCCTGTAATGACTGAACAATTTTAGTCAAAGACCGTAACAACCACATTAACTTCGTTACGGCATTTGCCTGACCATCCATTGTACCAGTTTTTGTGTTCATTTGTTTGAGTATACACAACGTCTTTTCTGGGTTTGTAAAAATGTCGTAGCATTCAGAATTGTTTTACAAGAAACTAAGTGAATACTGACAGTGTGAACAAGAAAAAACCATGGAATGCAAATGAGTTAAAGGAGATAAGTTAATTTTTATAATTTTGTGAACCTAACCTAAATTATAACGTACATAGGCTTGGTCAACAGCAGCATCCAGTTGCTGGATTTCGTATATATATAGTAAATACTTGATTAAAAAAACGATAATGTAATAATAAAGACAACGTTTTAATCTATTCTTCTTTCCTTTTAGATTAATTAATACTTGATTATATTTCTTTTAATATTATTGATAAAGTAGTACCTTGTTAAAATTATGTACTTCAGTGGAGCAACATCGTATTGATTACAGCGTTTGACTAAAATAGGAATGCAGTAACGTAGTTTATGTGGTTGTTACGGTGTTTGACTAAAATTGTTCAGTCATTACAGGGAATGACTGAAATGCTTAGTCAAACGTTGTAATCATTAAACTTACGGTGTTAGCCGGGGACTGACTAGGCATTTCAGAGAATGACGGATTTCAGGGTTTGACGCCGACATCTAGACTAGTTAGCGTACAGTGCTGAGAAAAATTGTCAGGCAGTGAAACAACTTTATTACTTTATCTGTGAATTGCATGTATTGTTACGAATTCGTGGGTTGAATACATACAATTTTACGCTATTAATTGTCGCCATTTATTCCTTGGTGTGCTAAGATATTTACTCGTTTATAACGGATTTTAAATACAAATGGCAACGTAAAGTTTTATCAGGAAAAACTAGGGAGCTTGTAGCAAATGTTATATTCTTTATGCAACGAGAAGCAGAAGGAAAAATAATCCTGTTAAAGATTTGAAGAAAGTTCAGGAGCGTGCAGCCATGGAGACGGGAGTTAGTCTATCGACTATTAAGAGGATTTCTCGTGACATGAAAACTGTTGAAGAAGGTCCTTCGACATCTTTTTCGACACCAGACAAAAAAGACGAGGAGCCACTCCGAAATCTGATTTCGACGACTTTGATAGAGGATTGCTTCGTCGATCTATAATGAATCCTTACATAATGGAAAAGACGGCTCCAACTTTGCGGCACATACACAGGAAATTTGTCCAAGAACACAATTACACTGGATCACATGAAACTTTAAGGAGAGTGATGACAACAATGCGATTTCGTTGGAGGAAGGCAAGAACTAATAGAAGACTTCTTATGGAGAAACCTGGATTCAGCATCTCAGGAGAAATTTTCTGAAAAGGATGAAAGAATATAGAGAAAAAAATTTATATGGACGAAACATACATACACCTCATACGCATGAATAAAGTTGGAGCGACAATACTATTTTCTAGGCGCTGAAGAAAGAAACTAAACCCAAACAAATACACGCATATTGCTCGTGAGTGAGTGTTTAGGCGCAGGAGACATTACAGGACCGCATCAAGATATTATGGGTAGTCATCAAAAATTTCATACAAGATAATTATTATCTTTGACAGTAAATTTCAGTTAGAGATTCACAAATGAGTTAACTACACTTTTTAGTTATTAGTAAGTAAGCTGCGCGCACTCATTCAGAAGAGGAACTTGAATCTTCTGAATCGTTTAAATGAATTATTAGAGGTTCAATTTGGGTATCAATGACATTGTCCAAATCCCACATTTTGACCTCAACCTTCTCCCGAACGTGGCGGATACAGTTTTTCCATTCCTCTGCCGTAACTCTATTGACTGCGATGTGAAAGAGATTTTTAACATCAGAAAATTTATAAGTATTATTATTCGACGCCACGTATTGCTTTATGTTGGCCCAAATCAGCTCAATGTTTGCTTTTTTAGTTGCCATTGTGGGATTTTTTTCTATTTTTCTAGAATGGTACGGGGCATTATCCAGTACAATAACAGCGTTATTCTCCAGCTTTAGTAACATTTTGGAGAACCAATTTTCAAAGGAATTGCCGTCCATCTCCTCATGATAGCCCCTGTCTTTTTTGATTCAAAGGCCCACAGTGCTTCGGGAACAAAGCCGTCTTCACTACCTACGTGACAAATGATCAGCCGTTTGCCTTTTCCTGGAAATAAATTATTCCTTACACTATGGATTGATTAAATTTGAAGGAATGAGGCAATTGAGTTCATTTAGCTGAATTTAAGAGTCACGGAATGCTGATCAAAAACTGAAAAACGTAGAAAATTGAAGTTTGCAACTTCTCAAAACCCATTCAAAGCAAATTGACTGCACCCAAAAATGATAATAAATTTCAAAATAACGCTTAAAAGAGGGTCGAAGTTTTTTTCCTAATGACTACACTGCGAATGCACCATTTTTGGAGAATATCACACATTATCTGCTATCACAGCATATTATTTGCCCGAATTTATCAAAATTAAATTGCCGGATAGATGAAGGAGCTTACCTGCAGGATTTTTCAATCCAGCCGAAAGACCGTCTAGAAAAGCCTGCCTTGATGATGTTACTGATTTGTCGACCCAAACTTTCGCTTGAGTATGTCCAGCATTCACCCACGTTTCGTCCAAATAGTAAATTTTTCTTTTTTCATCGCGAAACTTCCGAATCTTCCTAAGGTATTCCCTTCTCCACACAACAATTTCTTCTTTCTCTATTAACATACTGTTTCTTCCCCGTTTCAAGAATCGAAAATTAAGTTCCTTCAAAAGTTTTCGGAATGTGGTTCTTTTAAATGATGGAAGATCCTCATCAGCATTAACTAATCTTAATATCTTATCTACTAGGTATCTCATTTCGGAAGAAAAAATTATGCACTTTCCTCCTGATGGCAGTTCTGTCAAAGTCATCTACTCCGTCCGTTATCCTTTTTCTTGCAGGATACGGTTTTGGCTCAGAAAGTGAGTGAGTGCTCCTATATTCCTTAATGATCCTATAAACACTGGACCGACATACTCCAGAAATATGTGCTACCTTACATATAACTTCGTCCACGACCAAATCGGGTTTTTCTTGAATTTGGTTTTTGTATATATTTAATATTATTTGTTTTTCATTTGCACTTAAATGTAGCTTCTTAGTCCTTTTTTTGGGTGGGGTTGCGCTGATGTCAACCACTTCGTCGGCTGTATCTGTGTCAGACATCGTATCTTAGGCAATATATAAACAAAACGTTCCACTCGCGAAAAACGAGTATACGCTACTGAATGTGTAATGCGTATGCAATGCAATCCTGTGCGTGAATTAACTGTTAGATGCCTGTCGTGTCATCTACAATCACGTTTACAAGTCCAAACCTGTGCAGATTCGTAGAGCGCCGACGACTGGTAGTGACCTTGAATTTGTCTGTAGATCGATGTTACTTCAGTCAATTTAGGTTCAAAGTGGATGTTTTCTAAACCAATTTGTTGTTCCTACATCAAAAATATATCGATGATGTTTTGTACTGGGAGCTCATGAAAGATCAAGGTAACTTATTTTAACAGTCATCCTTTTTCTAGTCTCAAGATGACACGAAAAAGGGTCTGTGGATTCACTAGAAATACACTGCCGAGGATGTTTAGACCTAAAGTGACTAGAGTATATCCGTGGATGCTTCCGAGGGATCTGTTCACGTGCTGATCACTGTTTACGTTTAATGTCTTTCTTCAGCGCCCAGAGTATAATGAGGGCCTTCACAGGCCAGTTTCAAATGGACAAGGATTTATTATTGTGCATGCTGTGAATCAAATATAATGAACCTAGACGAATATAGCGATAGCGAAACAAAATATTTAAGTTTAAGTAGTAGCTCAGATTCCGATTCCGAATTTTCAGGATTTGATCCTCTGTGAAACTTCATAAATCTTTTAAATATTGCCAACTGAATCTACTACGATGTTAGTTTTCTGACCTTACTTTTCATTTGATTGCTTGTTAATTGAAATTATTAACAATTAAGAATAGAATTAGTACTCAATTTCAGTCTTATAGCTACATAGCGTGCAATTCTTATTTTATGGAATAAATTGTTTTGGTTTCCTTATTTCTATGTTTATCTCATTTATATGAATAATCACATAAACCCGATTTTTAACCTTTCTTCGGTAGCGAACAGGTGTGGAAAAATAAAATTATTTCTATAAAACTAATGTATTATGCACATTTGAAAATATTGAAAAAGTAGTATGTAAAACTTGTTTCTTTAGATATAAATTTTTAAATGCTTCTGGTGGACGTACAATTCTGAGCCCCAGAGCCAGACTACGTTAAGTCCATTTTTGTCAAAAATGAGTTTAATATGTTAAGCTTATGATAATTTTGTGAATTTTCATTTGCTACATGCAGCGTCCATTTATCTTTAATAATAAGGAAGTTACGACTTTTTAACTCATATCAAGTCGTATTCAATGCAATGCAAGACAAATATTTCATATATAAGTATCTCAAAACTACTTATTTGTACTTAACCTAGTCTGGCTCTGAGGTACAGAATTGTATTTTAAGATATCCTAATGATATAGATTCGTTAATTGTATATTATATACTATCAAACTCAATTTTATAATGCACACAAACTCAACCCATTGAACAAACTTTCTCTAAGAGTTATCGAGCCACATGAAATTCTACAGGCAATATATAGCTTAAGATCGGGTGCTCGTGGGATCTAACGCTGACAATGATAGAACTTAGTCTTGTAACGTTAATGAAGTTACCAAATTTAGAATATTGGGCTCACAAAAAGATATTTAAAAATTTGACATATGCGCACAATTTCGATTAAAAAAGCAGGTCTCACATAGTACGTATTCCATTATTGAAATTATTCGATTAATTTAGGACGCAGACTGTACCACTCGAGATCGAAAGGCAGGTATTGTATATTACGCGCCATGTCTTTTGCTCCGAATGCGTTCTCCCACTCTCGTGTGTGCAATCCCAGCAAACCCTATATCTCGTCCTACACTTGACGAGCAGTACTGTCCCTACGACAACTTTTTGTGTATTCTGTAATCATTAGGAAATAAGGCTAGTGGTATTATAACTTAAGCCGAATAGTCATATGAATAATTTTTTTTGCTTATTATTGAAAATTACACTCAAATATTGACATGTATTGACAGATCTTATTTATTGAGGTTAACGTTTAAATAAAAAAGTTGCTCTTAAATAGTACCCGTAAAGAAACGTTTCCACCGAAAAAGGCATTTTGCGAAAATGCGGTGGTTTTTGGAATAACCAATTCGATTAACTTCAAAGACGCGTGGCTTTTCATCCGTTATTCCACGGCAATTACAAATACAGGGTGTCCAGTGGGAAGGTTGACGTTTCAAATTTGAATTACGCGGTAACCGTAAACGCGAGGAAGTGGGGTCTTGACCGATGCGTTCGGCGTGCGGATTAAATAGTCACAATTGAACGCTGGACCGAAGAGCAACGTGCTTTTGCTATCGAGGCTTACTTTCAGAGCGGTGATTCATACGCAGCTGCCCATTGGAACTTTTGTACACGATACAACATTCGCCAATCAAGAGATGCACCAAGTAAGAACCTATTGAAAAAGTGGATTAAGAGGTTTCGTGACACCTACTGTATCAACCAAAGAAAATGTGCATCGAATAAGTGATTCGGCATTCTGTACGGAAGCATTCCGCTGCTTTGGAAATCCCTAGGTTAACACTGCATGGTATAATGAAGAAAAAAAAATAAGTTTTCAACCTTATAAAATTCAATCAGTCCATGCTTTAAAGGAAAGTGTTTACTTATTACGGAAATCTTGTGCTGAACGGATGTTGAATCCTTTTCCTACGCAGCGAAGGCTCGATAACGTTGTTTTCAGTGACGAGGCCCATTTTCACTTAGACGGTTATGTGAACAAGCAAAATTGCAGATATTGGGCACCAGCGAACCCAAAAGAGAAACATCAACAACAGCTACACAGTCCAAAGGTGACTGTTTGGTGCGCCAAATTCTCTAGCGGTATTATTGGGCAGTAATTATTTGAAGATGAAAAAGGTCATGCACTGACGATCAATTCTGAGCGCTACAAAGACATTGACACTTTGTTTGCTCCTATTGTAAGAACCGAACGTCGATTTAACAGAAACGCATGGTTTCAACAGGATGCGGCCACTGCCCATACTTCCAGGGATTCGATGGACACGGTGAAAGCACTTTTCCCTCAAAAGTTATCGAAGTTTGGAGACATTCACTGGCTTCCTAGGTCATCCGACCTCACGCCAGGCAATTATTTTTTTGTGGGGTTATCTAAACTCAAAAGTGTTTTCCAATAATCCACGAACGCTGAATGAGCTTAAAGACAACATTCGACGAGAAATAAACATCACTCCGGAACTCTGCAAGAGAGTGTTTCAGAATTTGCGCGCGAGATTACGAATATGTTGATAGTAATAAAAATTTTCTTTTCACTAAGTTTATATTTTTTTCTTACATCAAAAAGTGAACTTTCCCACTTATGCAATACCATACATTTGCAGCACTATTGCTCCAAAAGAGAAGGTATCAGCACTCCACCTCACCTTACTGCCATGATATCCACGAATTTCATGCGAGTCAATGATTCGCGAAACAAACAGAATTGCAATCGTTGAAAATATATATTACAAAACGAACTACAAGCTATCCATGATGGTGTTTCATCGGATGTCTTCTGCTAGCCACGTCCGGTCTATTGGCCAGAACATGCGGAGGTACATCGATATAGGTACCATTGCAATCATCTTGTTGCATCAGAAACACGTACGACAGATCTATATCATATTTGGGCAGCTTTTCTCTCAGATAGGAGATGACGTTGACGCCTAGTGTTGGTTCTCGACTCATTATAAAACTCGAGAGGTACCTGGGTACTTTCTTTTTTTCTGCACAGTGCAAAAGGAGGCACCAAGAAGTATAATCCGAGTCTAGGACGTAAGTATTGTAGATACCTTCATCTAAAAAAAATAACAACTACGTTATATCTAGTAACAGAATGTCAAGCAGAGTACCTAGATACGCGTGCAGGCAATATTCGACCACAATCCGTTTATTGGTATGATTAATTTACACTAAATGAAATCACAGATGATGTGACGGCGATACTGACGTTTCAGCTACTACAGGTCTTTTGGAGGTGCCTAGTAGATACAAACCTCTCACAGAAATCAATAGGTCCAAATTTTAAAGTTCAATCTATGTTTTAAAGTTACTTAAGGGAAGCCCAACGAATTTCAGAAGAACCGAACAAATTCCGAAAATTACATATTCAAAAAAACCAACTTACACGTATCTTCTGAATGTGTCCAGTGGGCAGGTTCTTCCGGATTAGGGATAATCCAAGTGATATTTCCCATAAGTATCTCGTTAATAGGATCATCAGTGAACCCGTAGGTAAAATTCATGGTAACGTCGTCCATGGTTGACATTGTGAATTCTGCTCTCATACAACGATATGACAGAGCTTCTTCCGAGCTCGCGTAGTATTCTACTACATACCATTTTCCCAGCATCTACAAGTAGTTATATAAGACGATGTTTAGATTTGGAGCTTCCAGCTGTCAAAACGGGCAATTCAATATTTTGAAAATTTCTGTATTTTCGAATTAAATCCTCAAAACAACACGTCAAAAGCCTTATAGGAAATAATTTTATAAAATAGTATGTTCTAATGAAACACCAAGAAGTGGCATCTATCACCAGAATCGACCACTGCGAGGGTTGAACGGCATCACCGTCACCGCTAGATGCCGTCGATTCTGGTGGTAAAGTTCGATGCAATTTACTGACTATTGAACAAATTAGTAATATAGCTTACTTCCGTCCTATCACAGGCGGCCAATCATAAACAGTTGTTTTGAGCGTTTTTCGCCTGATCGCAGCCTGATTCTGAAGTTCGACCGTTGAAATTAATTTCGATAGCGCCTTGCCGTCATATATTTGATCCACTAAGATAACTTCGAGACTGCCCTGATGATTTGACTCTAAAGATTACTATAATCAGGTGTCAAAATTATCACACCAGTTTATAAGTATGACGAAAACGTGGCATCGAAATTAATTTCAACAATGGAAATACATTTAGAATCAGGCCCCAGGTCTCGGATAGAACAACGAACGAAACCTAAGCACCTATGCCATATCTGAGGTATGAGGTGTATCTAAATACGACAGCACAAAGTTAAACAGTTCCAACAGATAGCTTGCTGTTTCACTCTCGCAGTGGGTGATTCTGGTAATAGATGTCTCACTTCTGTAGAGCGTATACACCCGATAGAGTATAGTTGCTTAGCTTTGGTTCGATGTTCTACCTGAGACCAAGCCTAGACCATGCTAATGAGTTTCTAAAAAGCACGAAACGGCTGTTCATGATTGACCGTCTGTGGTAGGATGGATGAAAGCTATATTAGTACTTAGTTAGTTGTGAATTTCAACTCGCTAAATAATAAGTGTCGAGGCTCACAAGGTTCGTACACTGGTAGTACATGAGTTTCAGAGGTGTATGAACAGGTAGATGGTTTGTAATAGCTTTCTTTCTCATCAACATCTGTACGTAGTAGTTGACGAACTTCGTTCATTTATATGGATAGTCAGGAGCAAAGTTGATAACGCAACGCTTTGCCGATACTGCTACTGCTGCTTTACCAGCTTGAACTAACGGTTTCCGATAAGTCATCAACTTTTATTAGACAAATAAACTCTCCCTACCGTCTCTTGCTCCATTAACTTGTACCACTACTCAGGCCTAAGGCCTAAAGCCTGAATGACTGTGGGTACCGTCCATCGAGTGGCACCTACAAGCTTTACGACGCTTGAAACTGTACCGCCTATGAATAATAAGATCCATAATCATGAGAAAAATTCTCTTAGGATGAAAATCGCACCCGAATTTTCATTAACATGGGGCAAAATTCCTTTTTGGCCTTGTCTGTCCAGGATATCTCAACCATACGATGACGGAGCATTGGTATAAATAGATTCCAAGGATTTTATTCCCGTCTTATAAGTTTTGTATAAAAAAGCTTGACCCCAGATATTTTTAGAAGCTCTTCAAGTAATCGGACTCTTAAATAATTTTTGGTAGATCTGAAGACTTAGGATATCTATCCATATACGTTTCATTAACGCCAGTAGAAATAATATTCATTCTTCGCAGCGTCAAAAAAATTTTAAGATATCCCAATTTTGTTATACTGTAACTATCTAAATCTGTAATGACGCGTGATCAGATCATGACCGCAGCTGGGCGACGGAGCGGCTGTCGAGAGGCGTCAGGCTAGAGCAGGGTGGTATGCTAAGCTCTGAGTGTCCGATTTACACATTCTAAATAATCCACATTTTATTCGTGTAACAATATGTCCCACAATCATCTTGAGAAACTTTGAGGTATTAAAATACAACTATGTCAATAAGCAAAAATTGGGAAAATATGGGTCTAAAGTCTTTATTCGTTTCTTTATTACAGTTTTAACTTTAGTATTATGCTCACAAGATCTCATTCATTTGTTCTAATAATCTTGATTAAAATGGTTTATGAATTTTTGGACTTGTTTTAAGGAGAAAGCTTCCATACAGCGATCTGCTCGAATAAATAAAATATCTAAAAATCACAATCGTTCTGCTTCATCTGCGTACGCTGCCTAAATGGTGGACCATACATAAAAGCCACTACTACGAAAATAAGGGCCTTCAAAAGAACTAAGAAATCCGCGGAAGCATATAGCGATCTCTTATAAAGAAGCCACTTTCCATGAGAAAATTTTCAATCGTCCCCTGGTGGAACGGATGTCAAATGGCTTGGTTTGCTCAAGCGGTTGAGCTTTGGGTTTTCATTCCATACCGCTCGGGTGATTTTCAATGTTCTTTTCCTTCAAGTAACTTTGTCCGATCGCCATGAGACACGAAGTCCCGTGAAAATTTGCCAAGTTATACTTATTATCCCGAGAAAATTGTAATCGGCTTTATTTGCTAACTCAACGTAGATTTTGCACTACGATTCAGCTGTTGAACAATGAACAAATAGCTGATGCCGCGCGGCATCCTATTTGCCTGTAACGCTATTATATATTTTGTGGCTTTAAAAATCATAACGTATTGTAGTTTTTCCACTGATGAGCTCGTCTACTTGTAATAGAACATTAAAACCAGTCAAAATCAACAAACCTGCTACGAGAAAACAATGCGCATGAACATTACCATAATTAAACTGAAAGGAAGAATGAAAACTGATTCCGGTCCTGAGATAAGATGACGCCTCAACGCTTAGTAGAGCTTTGAACTTATTTCGTTGAGAGTCTAGTTACCGCGTGATATTATTTGTTGTTAGCAGAATTGTTGTTTGGTTATTTCTGTTGTTATTGTCCGAGTCATAGTTAAATTTCCTTAACCATGGAGGGGAGACTGGGAACGGAAGCATTGGAAGCCAGGGAACAAGTAGAAAGCTTCGTAAGGCACTGAAAAAGAATGCGAAGGAAATCGTGCTCAACGTCTTTTTTTGTACTCCAACTACCATGAAGGCCTAAGGCCTAAACACCCATGGGTACCGTGGGGCTATAGGAGGATACAGGGGAAAGGGCAACGCCTCACGGACTCTCGCGAGGGAACACGTGTACATGCAACATGCACACATTCTGGTCCCGCCTACGAGATCCGCCGGGTGGTACCCAGTCAGCGACCGTCTGCCACCTACGGACAATCACAACATCCATAGCCAAGAGACAGATGTCTCCTGGGACGGGATTCGGACCCGCATAGCGCACGGCGACTGATCAGGAGACCTAAGAGTCTACTACTGCGGCCACCGCTGCTGCCTAGTTCAATTATTTAAACAAGGGAGATGTACTTACGCGTTACGAAAGCATGACAGGCGTCCCAGAGTGGACTGTTCGCAGTGTGGTACATGGACAGAAGAAAACTGGAGCTACTGCTGATTCAAAGTTCCATTTGAAGGGACGAAAGGTCATTTAACTAAATTCATTCTTTTTTAGGAACGAGATACCAACCCTTAAGGCTATACATGCAAAGATCAAGAATAATGACATTATACCCCAGTGAGCGTCGAAGTATTAAGGAAAACCCTCCACGAACTTAATTTTTGTAAGTAATCGGAAGTCAGGATTGATAGACAAACCTGAAATAGTCTCGTATCGTCGACAGTGCAGAAAAATATAGTATTTGGACGAGACGTAAATGCAGGTCACACAGTTAAAAAACCTGGATAGACTAAAATGTTTAATTATCCGACAAGCAAAGATTGATCGGTGCACATATTGGCAGCAATAGTGGCTTTTTAGAAGAATGCAACTTGACTTTCATCTGTAAGAAAGGAGGTGATTATCATGACGAAATGAATGCCAGCTGCTTCGAGATATGGTTTCAAGGGGTGCTTCAGCCAGTTGAGTCCAACTCTGTGATCGTCATGGATAATGCTTCCTACTACAGTCGCCGAGCCGAACTTGTACCAAATATGGGGTCCCGAAAAAGAGCGATACAGCAATGTTGCTCGAAAAGGGAAGTGTACGAAACAATTAAACATGACACAGACCTGCGAACATAGTTATGTGATTGATGAGATGGCCCGTCATTTAGGTGTCACTGTGCTACGTTTACCGCCCTACCATTGTTAACTGAGCCCAATAGAGCTCATCTGGGCTCAAGTGAACGGTTATATTGCGCGCCATAACAGAACTTTTAAATTGCCAGACGTCAAGGCTTTGCTAGAGAATTCCATGGAGCTAGTAACACCTGAAGCGTTACAGAATGCTGTCCGACATGTTGTGAAGGAAGAAATCAAAATGTGACAGCTTGACCACAACATCGACACCACCATGGAGCCAAATATAGTCACAGAATCAGAAAAAAAGCTGACAAAGGTAATCTCTAAATTTCTGATCTATAACGTCCTTCAAACCATTTCCTTTTTTATTACACATACAAAATAAATCAAGTTTACCCACATTAAAAAGTTATGTCCCGCCACTGACAACCCGACTGCCGATGGTTGAGTGATGTTTACGTGAACATCGATGAGTCATTACGGTTTTAGATAGTTATGGTATAGCTTTCGTCGTTATGTGGTAATGATATGTAATAGAGACAGTTTACTTGACTGCAAGCGAGAAATTCCAGAAAAAATTATCAAAAGAATTTAAAACCAATCCCATTTCATATTTCAAATCGACCTAACAATTATCAGCCCTTTCTTACAGTACATAAATATGTGACGCACAGTGGTTCAAAAACCAAAAAGCTCGACCAAAAATCCAAAAAATTGTTTTTCGCGGTTGACTTCAGATTTTGTTCACAGTGATAGGAATATATAATTAATCAGTAGATAACATTCAGATTGCTCTGCATGCAGAACTATAGTGAAGTAAATGTATGTCGCGTCAAATATTAAAATGGCAAAAACTATACATCAGAAAGTGTGTAATCGAATCGCGTCATATTTTAAAACAACCTGTATACTGATGTAGCAAAATAAATTTAATAGTTGGTATGAATAATACTATGATATGGCATTGTATTGCTTACCTAACATAGTTATTCACACATGACTCGATAAGACAGCAATATGTAGTTGAAATTTTTTTTATAATTCATAGTCAATAAAGGTTTAAAAAAAGCGTCCATTAGATTTCGCCCTATTTCGAATAATACCGTGTTTATTAAATATCACGTTTAGAAATATATCAATTTTGACTGCAGCTACAACTTTGACAGTTACGTGACATTATACAACGATTGGCAAAACTCCTTGAAAACATAAAAAACTCAAAATTTAGCGCAATTAAAACGTTTTTTATTTATGTCCGCCATATTGAATCCATTATTTTGTTTTTATTGGAGAGTCCATACTAAATTCGTTACAAGCGACACATAAAACATACAATCTAGTAATCGAAACATTCTTTGGAAGCATGTCCACCATGCTAGATCCGCCAAATTTATTCGATACCTAATTTGTTACTAGTGACCTCGTAAACATACAGAACTCGATTTTTAGCGTAAGACTCTTTTGCAAACATTTCTGTTTTTTTAAGAAGTGGATTGCATATTCCGCTATCAGAAAGTTGGAAAACATGACGAATTAAATTTTATTGTGAAACTGAGTGAATCTTTCTAGTTTTGGTCATGCCTTAGGACTTTTGAATCAATGTTCGAACTATTATTGAATTATGAGGCACATTTGAGTAGAGAATTTCTCGCAATTGCAGATTGAAAACAACAAATTCAGTTTGACGCACAAAGTTAAGGTTACCTGTTGCAAATCAAAGTTCCGTATTGCCCTAACCTTGGGACATTTTGTCTTGTCCTCTGGCCTATTTCTTCTCGAAATCACTTGACAGTTAGTCACTACTACCACAAAAAATAAAAGTACGACTAATTGTCTCATCTTGTACGAATATAATAAACGCTGAAATTATATCAACAGCCTGCGACATTGTTAATCTAAAAATGATTTCCTTTCTGAAGAGCAATATGGTATTCTTATCTCGAAACTGTGGGCGAATTGGTCATACGCGTAATCTGGTATTTTATAAGCCATTAAATTTATGTAAATAAAATATTTGGAACCTTAGTTAACTGTGTTTGACCTACGTATTTGTTATCATTAGGATGAATCAGATATTCGCTTTATGTTAAGAAACGTAGGCATTCCGTTTGGGATAAAACAATCTGATTGCAACTGAGATGGATAAATTAAACGATTTTTTTGTCATCAGTATGGAGCAAAAACATTTTTTTTTTAGCATAAAAATCATGCTTCGTTCTAATTCCATTTTAGATAGTTCTCATCGTAAAATATACAGGGTGTTTCAGAAAGATGTGCCGAAGTACATCCAAAAATGATAAAAAAGCTTCTACAAATATTGGTCCCCTATCGAGATACAGGGTTATGAATTTTATTTACGAAATTGAAAAAAGATTATATTTACGTAGAAAATGGGCTACCTCAGCCCCTGGAAGGAAATATTTTCTACGCCACTGGCCTTTTTTGGGAAAAAGAAGTGCATTTTATAAAATACCTTTTAAGCTTCCATAAATTTTATCTCTTGAGGCATTTTTGTCAAATCACTCGTTTTGGAGGTATTTAGGTTTGACTATCCTAAAATATTCTTATCAAAAGGTTTAGCCTCCCGTATTCTGAAAACATACTAAGGCTTTATATTGGAAACATTATATGGTACGTGAAAAAGGCTATGGCATCTCATTACAATATTAATTGAATAATATACGTTTCATCCTCGATTAAGTAGCGAAGAAGCTTACCATTCATTGAACTCTTTGCACGCCACTGGTTTTGCCAGCATATTTATTTTTGTTTATGTATGCAGAAACTTCAAAACAAAGTAAACGATGATTCAGAATTAAACACGACGACAATACACATTACGTTTGGCACAGCTTACGTGGTTATTTATAAATTTATGACAGCATTGAGAAAAAAAATGCTGAATAAGTGCTATAGCATCCAAGCAAAGGAGGTGTTAAAAGTGACCACCTCAAGATTCAACACAAGCCCGTGTTCTTCGCCACTGACTCTTTGGAAAATACCTGGCGCAGTACGAACAGTCCGAAGTTGCTAACGATTTGTGATATCTTCTTTGTTGAGCTCACTTAATCCGAAATGCTAAAGAATTTTGAGGAAAAAGGCCGACAACTTCAGAAGCAAGATATAAATTTTACTCAAATTGATTGGTAATACAATTACTAGTAGTGATTCCAAACAAACATAGGATTCTAACATGGGTAATAGCAGCATAATTATAAACACCATGAAAACCAGACAAGTTTTACTGAATGGTAAGCTTCTACGCTACCGATTGAGGATACGATACGCATATTATTTAATTAATGTTTTACCGAGGTGCCATATCTTTCTTAGCATACCATATAGTGTTTCCAATATCAAACTTAACGGTGTTTTCAGATCAGGGGAGGCTAAACCTTTTCATAAGAATATTTTACGATTTTACCTCACATAATCAAACCTAAATATGTCCAAAACGAGTAATTTGACAAAAATTCCTTAATAGACAAAATTTATGACAAATTAAATGCTATTTTATAAAATGCACCATTTTCTCCGAAAAAGCCAGTGACGTAGAAAATATGTTCTATTAGGGGTACATGTACCCCAGTTTCTACGCCCCTGGTTTAGTTTTGTTATGAAATTTTTGTTTATTGCTGATTATGTCTAAATGGACGTCTAAAATACTAACTCAGTATCTTTACCCGCTCCATAGACATATTTTTATAAATTTCGTAGATAAAACCACATCACCCTGCATATCGATAGGGGAGCATCTGCGGACTCATTTATACGAGCTTTTTTGTTATTTTTTATGTATTTCCTACTCTAGAAATATTTGCACGTATTTATGAAGCACCCTATATACAGGTATGTTATGTTATATTATTACTTTAGTCAAAAACTTAAATTTTGTCTTATTTAATCCGGCTTGGTGCCAGACTGCACAGACGGCTAGATTCAAGCGTGTATGAAATTGAATATATCGGTAGCTCGCAAGGTCAATTCTGGTGGCTCACAAAATATTTTAAAGAGGTGTAAAAATCATAGAAGCTTCCGTAAATATTGTAAACTCTCAGAATAAACACAAGCAACGGCAACACTGCGGTGAGCGATCTGTTCGAGAACGATCTCGATTACCCAGAACGGAATAAATACGCAAGGGGCGGCGACAGTGCGCTCAGTTTAAAACTGAACGGCACAAAGTCCAGCGGTTGGGTTAGAGTTGGCCTGCAATTAAAAAGCAGTAGTAAGAAGATGAAGACTAACTAGCTTTCTTGCAAAGTGAGATTGTGAGAAGAAGTAGAACTAATAACCCTACTAGCTGGAGAGTGTGTTCCAGACATGTCATCAGTATTATCTGAAGTTGGTATTCGGTATGTAAAGGTGTTAAAACCTATCCCTGCGGAGTACTTGCATTCATATGGTAATGAAATCCAACAAAAATTTGTAAAACGTGACAAGAGAACATGTGATGAAAGTTTCACGTTATGTTGAATGTGATTAGCAGTTTTACTGACGGTTCATGTATAGAAAAAGTTTAAGAAGCGATAATGATTGAATCAATGTAAACAAAAACATTTTCAAAGAGAAGTAATTCATAATATTTATGACAGCAAACATAGTTTTGTAATCGTACGTATACGGGAAATTGATACTTTCATTTTATTTTGTATCGCGTGTGTCAGTTGACAGTAACAAGATAGGACAAGCATCAAAAGCATAGCAAATATCCACTCTATGAGGTAAATAGACATACAGAATTGTTTTAAAAAGTTACTATAGTTAAACTGTTGTCAAAAGTAACTTTATCTCAGCCAAGTTTTCACCAAATAGGTGGGGATGACACCAGATTATTCATGGAGATTTGTTGAATTATTATTTACCGTAGATATTCGATTATTATTATTATTATCCTTTATTGTTAAAAGTTAAGATTACAAAGTTTCGACTATAAAACGCTTTCGTGTTGTAATGTTGTGAGGTGTAATAGACAAAGTAATTCGATATTCCAACTAAAACATGCACAAAAGAAGTCAATGACATCGAAGAAGCTTCAAACACATAAAATGAATAAAGCCAAAACAAAATACTACCGAAGCATAACGAATATAATATTCTAATCATATTAGACTAAAATACCCCTGGTTTGTGAAATCATTGTAAAGTCTGGTTTTATTGATGCAAGTTGTTCAAGGGAGTATTTAAAACATGGACGCTTAAAATGGGTACACCAATTTTTGTGGGAAAACTTTTTATTTGACAACAAAGAATGAGGAAACGTGTTTTTTTGGGATTCAATATTGCAAAAGGAAGCGGCTTGCCATCCTGAACGTCAGTGCGACCCAGATGGATCTATTGTGACCCCCATATACACCTTCTACAGCACCATGTCCAGCCACATTTGAGGATAGCGGTGCAAGCGGACATAAATCTACATTTATTGTGCTATAGTCGGGTACCAAAATGGAGTGGCAAAATGCATCGTACTTCAACATTATTGCGGCGCGTCTTTGGGTACGGTGAGAATAGCCGGCATATGTATAACAAAGACTATGCATTGTGCTACTCGCTTCCCTTTAGGTACACAAATAAACCATATTCCATCTTCGAACCTAAGCAATTTTATCGCTGTGCCTACGCATATAAGACTTTATCGGAGATTTTTAATAGGTACTAAGGTACTTAAGCTGTCAGTTTTAAACGATGGGTAGTTGAAAACGTCAATTTTGTAAATCTAATGATACTTTTTCCGACAGAGGAGATACTTTGCATCCCCTATACGAGTACATCGCATTCCCTTCACAGTGCGTCAGTTCCGATCGATAGAATGATTCCTCTCCACCATGACGCGCGGCACGATATTTCATGTTCATGGCCTGATTAAAACAGCAAAATAGGATAATTTTGCCTCTTATCTCAACATACTGTGACCTTTCGGTCGGATAAATCATGTCAGTGGAACTAGCGGGAGGTGCATCAGTACGTAGGTTATTTTTGAACAACATCAGCAGCAAGTAGATATAGGCCTGTAGGCTTATCCTAACCTATACGTTCTGCGAATGTGATTTTGCGCCGGAAAACTGCCATTCTACAAGGTGAGTTTGATAAGTGCCTCTATTTAGAAACATCCTGTCACAGTTGGGTTATAGTCTGAGATGCCATACTTAATAAATTGCTATATCTATCATTTGTAAAAAAATACAAATTTAGTATGTCACGAATTCACTATACAGTACCAGTGTAATCTAGCATGAGTGCAGAGACATCGGTACTACGCTTCTCCACTACTAATGTTTTTACCAATTTCACACATGTAATATTTGATATGATTTAAGCCAAGGAGTGAAATGAAAATCAATACATAACAGGGATTATGGATTTGGATCCGTACGCAGTGATCCCAACTCTCATGGGACCCTATAATAAATCTTCGTAACATTCTCTCTTCTAATAAATAAAAATTCCATTCAATTTGGGTGGTGCATTTTTCAGATTTTTTAGATTTCATACTTTGGTCCTGGGGTAGACGTAAGTAGTTGATATTCATTAGTCAAAGTTGTCTACCTGTCACCTATAGAATTTTCAACCATTAAGAAAACATCAGGCCAACGATGGACACCCCAAACTATTATTCCGGTGTTTGTATTTTTTGTCGTGATAAAATGTTATATAGGCTTGAAGCAGTTTTTGTCTTCGGAAAAGTCTCGTATAATGACCTTTTTTCTGCTCATTCAAACTAGTGACAGCGCTTGGACTATTCAAAACTAACGTTACGTGATTTTGACCCAGAAAGGTTGTCACTCTACGAGGGGAGAAAAAAGAGTCTTTCGAGTTTTTCTTAATTCATCAAGTAACCAAAATGTGCCTGATTTTATGACCCAGGATAGCCAGAACAATTTGATTCAGAAACTTACTTTTTCACACATAGTGTATTATAAAAAATCAGTGCAGTCACTTCATTTAAACCAAGCCTCTTTTTTTGAAATAAGTGGGCCCAGAGTGCCATCCATTAGCAGAATCAACCTCAGCGAGAGTGAAAATAGCAAGCTGCCTGTTGGAACTGTATCCCAATTCGCATTTGACAGCCGGATCACCACTATGGCCGCTAGATGCCGTCGATTCTGGTGGTATAGTACATCTGCTCGCTATTAACCAAACGAGTGATACAGCTTTCGTCCATCCGATCACAGATCGCCAACCATAGACAGCTGTTTCGTGCTTTTTGACCACTCTGCAGCATAGTTTCGGCTTGGTCTCAGGTCGTGGTGGTCCGACTGTCAAATACTTTATGCTGTCGAGTGATCATATACCGTGGATAGAGGATAGTTGCTCAGCTTTCGTTTGTTGTCCTATCTGAAACCATGCTGATGAGTTGACAAAAAGCACCAAACAGCTGTCCACGGCTGACCATCTGTGGTGACTGGTGAGACGAACGAAAGCTGTGTTACTGCTCTCTTTTTGATGACCGGCCTTCTGTGATTTTTGAACAAATTTTTATTTCGATACGACCAAGTCGTGAAAGTGGTAGCAAAATTAAATATGTGACCTCTAGTCAGCTTTCTGATTCTTACTAAAACTAACTCTAATGATAACAAGTTTGGTCGTGTATTCAGATTTCTTCAGATTATCCAAAAGAGATATCCTACATTTATATATTTTTTTTTCTAAGCCAGAATTTGTATGTATATTTGCTCCTCATTTGTCGCTTGGTAACTAAGTATCTAAGTTTTTTTGATAGCTTTATCGGGGAAACCCTTCGTGGTGCAATTTCTTGGAACTTAACATATAAATGGCAATATCTTTGTTCTAACACCTATGATCAATATAGCTATGTAGAATAAACCTATATGTCTCTTTTTCAAATAAGAAATAATTTATACGGGCACCACAAAAATACACCACCTCATGAATATAATGCAAAACACCAATTTTCAAAGCACACCATTGTTTATTGGTGTACCTATCATTGTGTATTGGTGTACCCAGCACTGCGTCTTTGTAAGCAATTAATTTCATGGCTATTGTCGTAACCCAATCACTTGAAGGGAGGATGTTGCAAAAAAAGCTTATTTGAAGACCTGCTCGTCGATAGGAAATTTTTAAAACTTCATCAACACTTTCTTGATAATTACCTCTGGGAACCAAAGAATTGAATACCTACTGTCGCCCAGGACATTTCGTATATAACACTCACAATGTTCATGTCTTTCAAGAATGCTTTCTCCAAAAAAAAAAAGAAAAAACATTCCTGTCTATATTTATCTATACATTTAAAGTACTTATACCGATTTACACTTTGTTGTTTTTTCACCATCGTCATCATTCATTTTATGTATATAATATGCATCCACGTGCCAAAGGCCAGCCTATAAACTACGAGCATATTTTGTAATTTGCAGATATCATAATGTCGTTGATCACCTCAGAACTTCCAACGTTGTACGAGCACTACACCGCTGGTGGAATCCATACAGGGCTAAACTCCGACAAACCTTACTTCACGCTCAATGATAAAAATATATCTATCTACAGTGGGGCGATACATTACTTTAGAGTGCCGAAAGAGTATTGGAGGGATCGGCTAAGAAAACTTAGAGCAGCAGGTGGGTTACACTGACGATTATTTAATAACGGCTTGTTAAAAAAGTTAGAAGATACCAACAAGAGCCACGCAGTTTCAGCTATGGATCCTGTATATGTATACGCCCAACGTGGTCACAGCTAGTGAGAATAACTTCAGCTGCCTACCTATTTTTTAGCACTATCCGGGTTGAGTTATATAGTGCATCAATATTTTTATGCTTTTTCTGTCTACCACCAAATACGGAAGACCCACTGTTTGTAGTTTTATGAATTTCATACTCATTGGGATTATGTTACATGTATTCCTCCTAGATTCATTAAGTGGTTTTCCCATTAGAAGGATAAAAAGATTCGCGATGCTATCATGCTCTGCACTTTCGTTTGACCTTCGGCAATGTTAGGAGGGAGTTTGATGTTTCCAACCGTATTGGTGTGTCCTGAATAATCAGTGGGTAGTCAAAATTCCAAAAACTCTTCCCAGTCTACCTTAGCAGTATTCATTATTATATTATACTTATTATTATACTTATTGCGCCAAACTTTTTGTCAGCACTCTATTGATTTCATTGCTTTCTGTTATTTACATTTGGAGACAGTGCTTCGTGCAAGTCTATATAACATGCTCTTGACCCTATCAGCCAAAGCTTGCCCCGCAAGAGATAGTTACTCTATTAGTGTCTGCCAATGTCTTTAAGATATTATGGCCATTCTGCACTATCTTTTAGGTAAAAGGTATAGATATTTCTGGCTAAAACGTTCGGCTACTGCTTTTGTATAGTTCTTTCTATTGTATTCTCTATATGTGCAAGTGTACCGCATTTCATGTAAAATATGCCTTTATCCAACGCATTCGCTTCAATATATACCTTTTGTTTGATAGGGTCAAACCTTTGGAGCCACTCCAGACAAAAAAGCTCAACACTATCGCCCTGTCGGATTTTTGTAAGATTTTCTAGAATCGGCATGCTGACTGAAACCCCTTAGTCGTTCGCCACACATCCCACAGCGGTAATGCTAGCAGCACTTCGTCAGGGTGCGTAGCGTTAAGTCAACTTTTCATATCGAAGGATTTAATCATGTACATGTACAACCCTGCAAACAGAGACCTATTATTAGTTCCTCGGCCTGTTCTTATCATCTTGTACCTCATCATTGATTAAATGTCCACCCGTTTGCCCTGGCAAAATTGTCAGATGTGAGCGTCTCGCTGAGCGTCAATTCCAGATATCTCTGGTAGTCAACCCATCTAACACATTCAGGTAGATTGCGACTATCCTCCTCTTCGTTGCAATCTACACAATTTGCATACTCTCTTCTCTTTCCTATCCTATTCAGGAAGCTTTCAAAACAATCATGTCATGTGAAAGCTAAATGGTATAGTACTCTATCCGCACCTTTCTAGTCCATGCACCATGACCAGTTGCAACCCATCTCTATTGCCATCTTTTACCAGCAAGTCAGTTGGCGGGATACCAGCCAACACTAGTAGTGCAGCGTTCGACACCGTTCTGTAAGCGTATACCTCTACCTATGTATCGGTTCTTCATTTAAAGCCGCAAATCTGTCAGTTAGCTGAAGAGTTCTGAATAGTGTTGTTTACTATATTTCCATTTTTGTCTAATAAGGAATAGGTACTGGTGAGGCGCTATCTACCAGTAGCTCTACGAAAGTCGTATTCGGTACTTGCAAAGCTGATTATACCACTAATCAAATTATGTTTACCTAGGCTTGAATACAGTAGAAACGTACGTCCCATGGAACTTACACGAGCCTCAACCAGACACCTTCGACTTCGGTCAAGGCGGATCAGACTGGGAGCATCTTCTAGACGTCAGGGAGTTTTTGACCATCGCTAAGGAAGAAGACCTTTTCGCTATCGTTAGACCTGGACCTTACATTTGTTCGGAATGGGAATTTGGCGGGTTGCCTAGTTGGTTACTACGTGAACCAAATATCAGGTTTCGGACTTCTGATGGTACCTTCATGAAATACGTTAGCAGGTAGATATTTACGAGCATGTTAGCTTAGTCTCAGGTGACCAGTTCTGAGCACCAATCACCAGCAAATGTAGACAACAAGGGTATCAAACATGATACACACACTTATCTAGATATTTACCATATATCTACTACAAATTAATTGAAACGAAGAATTTGAACATCACTATGATAAGATGCTAATGTTTCGATGCGTCCGTAGATTTGTACCGATCTGTGATTGTATGCTGTTGACCTTAAGCATTTACTTCTAAAACCTGGTTGCAATAAAGATCGTGGTAATTTTGATATTAACTTTTAGATACTTCAGCGTCCTGCTACCCATATTAGCCATGCTTCAATTTACTAGAGGTGGACCTATAATAGCTTTTCAAGTAGAGAATGAATATGCCAGTACGTATCTACCTGGGATTTTTCTCCCTGATAAGAAATACCTCAGACAACTCAGGCAACTAATGATTGATCACGGGATAAAAGAACAACTCATGACGTCAGATGCTGCAATGTATGGAACAATAGGTAAATGCTTTCAACAAAAAACTTGATATAAATGTGAAGACAAGTGGCACAGTTGATATTTTGGATTTGAGTCCTTAAGTTGCAATAATATATAACTACTACCAGCCTGGAAAATTTGAAATTCTATATTTGAATATCTTACTATCTTTTGCAAAAAATTGCGTCAAGTAGGTTGACTTTGCACTTCCCACGCAACTCTGTCATCAGTTCATGAACGATTATATATATATATGTATAACAATAAATTCAAAGGATCAAGCTAGTCAAACAGGCTCTTACAATTAAAATTTGTATATTCTCTGGGAAAATTTGCTACCCCAGCTCTTCAAAAAGGTTATGGAGGCACGTACACTTTCTTGCCGATTAATGCTATGGGAAAAAAGTCCTGCTGGCGTTCATAAACGCTGCTATGACTAATCTAGCCGCTCATCATACACGGCAGTACGGCAGCCACTACCGGCTAGAAAACACAAATATATCCATCGACCAGACCATGATACTTGTACATCCTGTGTTGAAAATATTTCTCTATCGTTATGCCTTGTTCACAAATGAATGTGAAAATCTATGATGTATAAAATATGTCTATTAAATGCATAGAACTACCGGGGCTGGAAGCGTGTGGATATAGTGACGTCAACGTTTTAAACCCCACAAAAGTTTTCCGTAAAATAACGAGAAACCTCCTAAACGTCAAAAAAGTGTTTGGGTTGAGTGATTTCTATTTTTTCGCCTTTTGCCTCTTGCTCTGTCGCCAATAGACCGATTTTCAGAAACGACATGTATTTTCCGTTCTTGGCATAGTAGTAATCTTGTGTGAAAATTCAGCCTAACTAGAGCGGTATTTTTCATTGCATGGCCGGGCGAAGGATTATTTATCAGACATGCCAACAAACAGACAGACAGGCAGACAGGCCTCAGTCAGACGGAAATGGAAGACATGATTTTTTGTGATGTACATGTCACACGACATTCAAAAATATGTCTCATTTTCGAAGTCGCCTGTGTTGTGGAAAGTAAAAGAAACAGAAAGAAGACACAGTTTTCCTACCATTACGGTTTTTGCAACAGTACTTCGTTTTTGTATATGAAATGATCCCTATTTATCCAAGCAAATTCGATAAACGATGTGTTACACGTCTTCTGCATAAAAGCACTAGAAATATTCGTGCCTTCCCTGAAAAAATATAAAAAACCTGAAAGCCATTAAAAAGCTGCCAAAAAGTTATAAACATACTGAGAGGTCTATCTGACAAATGTCTAGCTACCCCCACATCCATTATATGATTCTAAGCAATTAGCAATTGTTTTGACATTTTTTTGTATGACTGTCGGTTGCTAATTAATAAAAATTATTTCAGGGTCTCTACCTGGACTAGTACTTCAAACGGCCAACTTTGCTGGTAATCCTGAAAATGAATTTAGCCAGTTGAAAACATTCCAACCAGCCAGACCCATCATGGCCATGGAATATTGGACAGGCTGGTTCGACCATTGGTCTGAACAACATCATCTTAGGAATGACTCGGATTTCCGTGACAATTTGGAAAGAATTTTGAGATACCCGGCCTCTGTCAACATGTACATGTTTATTGGTACTTAACGTCCTTAACTAATGCAAGGTACTTTGGCAGATGGGAAAATAATTGTTTGGTTAGAATATCTTAAAACTCCATAGTTAAAACTATCGTGAGAGGCTTTTTGTCAATATCGACTTATTTTATTTATTTTATGTACTCGTATCGACGATGTTTTAACATTTCACAGGGATCAGTTTACAAACAATAGCGTCAAATAAGCTTATTCAAGATTTTTCATACAGTATTATCGGTTTGCGAATGTAGAATGTTTTCTCTGTGTCCCCCAAAAGAAACTCCAAAATTTTTATTTCGACGAAATTTCGTCTTGCCACCGAAAATTATGTTCTGAGCATTTTCACATTTTTCTATGACACTGATGCCCGATTTTACTATTGACGCACGGGAACCATAATTTGTGAATATGCCGCAAATTTGACCAATCAGAAGGCGTTTTTGAAGTAATAGATCTTGGAATGGAATATTGATATTTCAGACGTTCCAATTTTCCGTAAAATAACTTGATATACATACTTGACTGTAAAAATGTCAAAGTACCAAAGTACATTTTAGGTTAGAACAAGTCACCTTAATGTTGCATGTCCCTTTTTTCCAACAGCCTATCTGGAGGAGTATTCTCAATACTTCTCGTCTGTTTCACGGTGACTGATGACTGAAAAACAATGCTCTCTGTATATTTCTTGCCAAAAATGCATTTTTTCACATTTTTATGCATTTTATCTCCAATCGTAACTTGTTAACAGCTCTAAAATTGTATGTGAACATTCCACTTTTATGGAAGGACTCATTTTCTGATTACCTACTTTCTCTCTTCGAGAAATCGTTGCTTATAATGAAAGCTCAATTTGCTACAAAATGCGGTTTCAAGAAAATCAAAAATTTTTCGAAAAGAAAAAGTGACAGGAATAAAAGTAACCACCCATTTCATTCTTCCATAAAAGTAGAATATTCACATACAGTTTCAGAGCTGTACTAATATTTTAACAAGTTAAGATTGAAGAAGAAATGCACAATAAAACATACAAAAATGCTTTTACTGGCAACAAAGAATGTTAGCATTATTTTTTATTCATCTCCATACCGTACAAGTTATGGTATCCTTAAAGCATTAACACCATCTAAGTCCCTACGAGTATGACACCGTCCCATACTCGTGAGATAGGATGTGATGTTTGCATTTTTACCCGAGACTACTGATTTCTGGAAAATTCGTAAGTGTAATCTTATAATATAAAAAGGGTGTTTTACCATTCTCTGTACTCATTTCTTTACTTGTTCTTCTGTTCTCAACTGTTGCTGATGTCTCAATAAAAGTTAGTCTACAAAAGTTACTGACGTATTTCTCTAACATCATTTGGCGATTATAAGAGAAATAGGAACGCGAGTGATAATTCCTCAGTGCAATCAATCACCCACGATCCACACGTATTTAATTTACACACCACGAAATAATCAGATGAAAAGGTTTTAGAATACTGCTGCAAACAGGTAGTTGAAAAAAGCGAAAAAAAGGGATGCGCGACATTAGCGGAAGAATTCCTGGACTTAGCTCATCTGCCTGTTTAAGTTCCATTTCTGTTACAAGCGTATCTGGTGCAACAAAAATATTGAAATTAAGTATCAGCTCAGCTTGATGTCGACCTCAGCAAGAGAATGCAACCGTGAGATTTGACAACACTTTTACCACTACTAATCCGAAAAATCACTATTATTGACGGCAATACCTCTTTGAGAAGTAGCATTTCTCTCCCTGTTGCCAGTTTGATAACTAAACCTTGAATTTCACCATATTTCAGAATTGAGAAATTCGTAATTTTAAGTGTTCCTTCTCACTGGCTTTATTAAGTATATTCTTCAGCGCTAGGATATGAGGGCGTTCGTCCAACAATGTCCCACATCTCAAACTAGGTATGTAATGTGCTATTACACTCTGTCGTTGACACTTAAACATAAAATGTGTGATGACGTTATTTTGGTACGCTGAATACAATAATTAAAGCCTTCTAGTTGATGCTTGATTTCATTCGGTCTTCTTTAAAGTGCGAATCTTAAGTACTTTTTTCAATATAAAAATAAAAAAAATTGCTCTAAACATGCTACTTCAGAGATTCTATTGCTATAAATACTATTTCTAAGTGCTGTGTATAGAAACTAACTAGAAGCATCAACCATTCAATTGACCAGAAAATTTATTTTCGTAGTGGTGGAATTCTGATTTGAATTTCTGTCATTTCAATTTAATGATTAGGTTGTTTCGGATTTATGAGTTTTCCTCCTCATAAAAATGAGCTCATATCACTTCGATGTGTCGGGCTGAAGTTGTACGAGTCATATTCCAAAGTCTGCATTAACCACACGTATTAACCTAACCGACTCGAAGAGAACTGCGGTGACATTTGTCATTTGCACGCGTTAAATGTCACATCTTGCCTCTTTTCCCTTGGCGCCAGTGCCTTGGCTGATATTTCATAATAAGTAATCTTAAGCGATGAACCGTGGTTACTCCTTGTAAATGCCCTTGATTATTCTGATATATGCCTATCTGAGACTGAAGAGAGAGATGAGAACAGGGTTGCACGCAAATGTTCTGTGGTCTAACGTCAACGATTATAAATATAAATGAAATATAAGTAAATAAATAAAAACTGATACTAATAGCACGCGTGATCACTTTTTAAATTCTGCACAAATAACCAGTGCATGACTCCATAGAAATTAAGTAGTTCTACGCCTATTGTCATCTGATACCGATTTTTTTGTTGGTAACTTTTTACGGAAAATTGTCAGTCATAGACGCCACAAAACAGACGCAAAAGAATAGGCAAGGTTTATGTTATATTCACTGGTTGACAATTGTTATTCAGAACTGCCTAGAAACCACCACCTGTGCAAGGTTGTTATTGCTCATAACTGTCAGTAGCAGTATCGTTGCGAAGGGCCAGTTCATGACGTCATTGTTTCTACAAACATCTTCGCTTGAAATAAAAAAGTAGAAACCAAATAAGATCGCTTAAAATTGCCTTATGCGTAACTAAACCCAGCCGAGGGACTTTGCTTCTTCTTCCTTCGCTTCTCTTCTCCTCATGGGCGCGAACCTTTCAGTTTTACATAGTGAATAAGACTCAGATTTAGTGCAACATCTGAAGTATCTTTAAACCTCATTTACACTGTTTCAGAACAGATATAAGCACAAAATGCATAGTTATATATCACGTAAACTGAATCATAAATAAGAATCTGGAAATTGTTTTAGACTCCTCTTCGTCGGGATGAACATATACAGTATATTAGAAAGAAACTTAGATTACCGTTATACAAACTCAGATATTACATACAAATTTTCAATGAAACATAATTAAACATTTTATATCAAACATTAGTTAAATGCCACATAACCTATACAATTGTTAGGGGAACCACAAATAACAATCATCTGAATTCTTTACATATAATACATAAACTAGTCATAACGAGCCTTTATTATATCCCCCCAAATCGCTGTTTATAGAATCAAAACCTTTAGATATAAAAAACTATTTTAGTATAACGTAATATTTGAAACAAACATTGGACCATTTATGAAAATTATGAATATGATACTAGAAATAAAAGTAAACAATTATTGCAACACCAAAAAAGGAAATAATGTTGAAATCTTTTATTTGCTTAGGTCCAAAATTATATCATAGCTTACCATAATTTATTAGAAAAAGAACGAATATCTTTCTAAAATTCTAAAATATAAATATCTTTTCCACATTGCTCATTTGCGATACAAAATTACTTATGTATTACATTTATATTATATAGATTTTTTTAGTCCTTATCAATCAGTTTATTGAAACTACTATGTTATGTATTAAAATGATATCCACACACACGAATATTCTCCTTTTGTGGCATGTCAATTTATTCACAATTTATAATTGATGTGAATAGATATTATTATTATTATTAATCGCTTCTTCGATTCGCTTGTCGCTACCTGCCCGGGCAGTCATGGCTCGCTTGCTAATAGGAGCGCGCTGATGTTTCTTTTGACGAGGAGTAAACGAAAATACATCCAATCCACTGCCAACGTATCGGTAACAGTTTTGCAGTAAAGGGAAGACATTAAATAACCTTTTTTTAGGAGGAACAAGCTTTGGATTTATGAATGGAGCCAACCTAGATAACGGACTCTCTGACAATTCTGGATATCAGCCAGATACAACAAGTTATGACTATGATCCTCCACTAGCAGAAAATGGTGACTACACTATAAAGTACGTCATGGTCAAAGAACTACTGAAAAAGTACAACCCAATAGGAACCAGGTAAATTAACGATAATATGGACTCAGTAACAGAGAAAACAGAACACACAGTAAACATCGTTTGACTTGAACGAAATTTTAAGTAGAGCTAGACATAAGTAATTGGTGATTAAGGCCCATATCGACAGTTGTCCCTACAATTGTAGGGCACCTTTATGGCCTCCTTGATTGTCATAGTTTTCTACTTCTCCGTGTCAGAACTCAATTTTGAGGTTATGTTACAAACATCTATTTGCATCAAATTGTGCTTGCTTTTGAGTTATATCATGTTTTATCAGCATGAAATTTTCTACAATTTAAAAAGAAAACATATCTTCACAACAGGAGAGCGCTGACGCTGACACGGGACAAGTGTAATCTAGAAATTTTTGAAGGAGTTAAAGGAGTATGACAATCAAGGAGGCCATAAACGCGCCCTACAATTGTAGGGACGACTGACGATACGGGCCTAAGTGTTATTGTTTGTTGTTGAAGATTTATTTCGCATTAATGCTACAATGTCAATTTTGTATAATAATTCGTTTAAACATTTTTTGAATTAATTTGATGTAATTTTACATTCTTGTCTATTAAAATTTTATCACACGCATTCCGAATATTCATAAGGTGGGTTTTTAATTCCACCTTGAACATTTTTAAATTCGAACACAGTTTATTATCATTATTCAATTTATTAAATTCAAATTCTCACTTTAGAAATACAGATTCGCTAGTTAGAATTTTGCAGATGAAAGTCTATACTGCCTCTAGTTTCGTGGTTATGCTAATCACTATTTAATTTTGTGATGTAAATGGTTTATAGTTGAATATGAAAATGAGTACTAAATAGCATATAATTTTTTTTACATCTAACCACTGAAGTTCTTTTAACATAGACTTAATCTTCGCATTGTTTTTAAAATATAGCTTTATTTTGTCGAATTTGCAATTTTGAAAATAGTCGGTTGAACATTACAAAAAATGAGGAAGAATTATAGTTCGTTATCGAGAAAATTAGAAAAATCTTTATTTATCTTAATTTGTTCAGATAGATAACAAAAACACACGAAAATATCACTTTTTATTTCAATAAGTGTCCTAAATGTTGCCAAATCTAGAATTCGTTTATAATTTAAAGCGGAAACTACTAACATAAACAGTAATTCGGAAGATTAGACGTGGCAACAACCAAATAACAACCCGAATTTTTTCCGCATGCTTTTCATCAACACCGATATCCTGGGCAAACTGTATTTATTGTTATACCTTTTTTAGGTATTTGTTGCTAAGGGAAATAACTAATTTAATTTACTGTCATTTACCTTTGTGACAATCTTGGGATAGTGAAAATTAGTTTAATGATCCAGATTTTACTTCCAAAATGGTTTACACACTAGCCGAAAGAGTGGATATGACTCTAATTTATGGTGCCCAAAATCAATGTTCTCGGCAAGCTGCCGTCCTGTTTAACGCCAGTCATCCGGGGAAGCTGACTTCCCATAGGTATATTTTGGACCCTGTTACTAAATTTACTCAAACTGAATCTGTTGCAAATAAAAACATGACCATCGGAGAGTTTTGGATGAAGCCGCACAAGTTGAAGTTTTGGATCATTTTGGAATGAATCCTAATACTTCAATCATTACGCAAATTGTTGCTGCGACTGTTATTTCATTGGGGTCTGTACATACAGTTACTAAACTCCATAAATTTCATCTATTCAAAATGAAAATATTGCAAGAGTTAACCGAAGATGATTTTGATATGCGAGTTGAGTTTCGTGAACTGCAGCGATTAATGATAATACCATTCATGTAAAGAATATCTACTTCAGTGGTGAATGCACATTTTATCTAAATGGATTTGTTTATAAGCATAACTGCAGGTATTGGAGGAATGAAAATCAGCAAATAATAGAAGGGCATACCCAGTACACCCAAAAAATAAATGTATTGGCAGGCATTTTAGGAAACAAAGTGATTGGGCCATTGTTAGTTAATGGAAGCTTGAATGGAGACATTTATTTGGATAAGTTGAACAATACCATCAATCCGCTTATCACTGAAACCATTGAAAACCAATTCGGAAGGGAATGGAACCCTAGACTTGATGAGGCGGTAATAAATTTATAGCAAGACGGCGCTCCTCCTCACTATGTTCTTCCGGTTCGGCAATGGCTAGACGACGAGTTTCCAGATAAATGGGTTGGGCGAATAGGGTCTATAGAATGACCTGCTATATCTCCATATTTGACGTCATTAGACTTTTTTCTATGGGGCCATTTTAAATCTAATCTGAAAGTTTGGATGAACTTTGTCAACGCATCATCGACAGCTGCCATGTTATCCTACAACTTGTTTTTGAAAATGTCCGTCAGGAAATTGAACATCGCCTAGGTATATCGTCGTTTGACCAATAACAGGCAACATTTTAAACACTTATTGAAATAAAGTATGATATTTTCGTGTGTTTTCTTTTCTATCTGAACAAATTAAGGTAAATAAAGGTTTTTCTAATTATTTCAAAACGGATGAACCGATTTCAATATATCTAACGTCAAAATAAAGGACTTCGAAAGACCTTTCAAACAAGCTATTACTCGATACCCCTTGACAATGATATATTATACCCAGATGTATACTATATTCAATGTTTATCAAACAACAACTTGAGAAAAGGGAGACTGGGTGCCGGCAAGATGCGAATCCGCATCTTCTCAATTCCGTGGAAGCAACCTAACCAATTCTACAGCACCAGCTGCCCACCAACTTTGATGATCGATTGTTAGAGGGTAAATTCAGTCTCACTCACGCCATCGTTTCCTGTTCATTCAATCTGCTTGATACCCATCTGTCGGTGTTGAAGTGAAACAAACAGAAATGTTAAGATATCTCCAATCGCTTTCTAGTCACGGCGACCCGTGGGCATTTGCCACGGAACCCTTTCCTCTCTCTCATGTTGTTGTTTACTAAACATACTCGCTGTTGCAGTTGCGCTCATCTGAAAAATCGTATATGTATATACAATATCCAATGTTTTTGATTGCAGACTTCCTCAAACTCCTCACTTAGTGCCCAGAGTGGCATACAACTCACATTTAATCCAGGGCCAGCTGACACTAGATGAGATCATAGACAGGATACCCCATAGAGTATTCACCAAACAATTGAAACCTATGGAACAGCTACCTATCAACAACATGTCAGGTCAAAGCTATGGCTACGTCATTTATAGACATAGGTTATTTCATCTACCATCTTATTCGCACGTTCGCATCAATGGAAGAGTATGTGACACGGTAGTAGTCACCCTGAATGATCAGCTCATGTCAAGGCCTTTAGATACTGCTAGTGACCTAGATGCATTTGGATTCTGGAAAGTAGCAAATTCGACGTTGGAGCTCGGAAGCAACTTGTATTCTTACTCTGTCTTGGACCTGATGGTAGAGAATTGGGGTAGAGTAGGGTATGGAAAATTGAGCCAGTTCAACCAATTCAAAGGCATCTGGCAAGGAGGTGTATACGTAAACAACGAACAGCTGCAAGATTGGGAAATACTGCCATTGGAGTTCAAGAAATCTTGGACGAAGAGCTTGACAGGATGGCATGTTCCATCTAAATATACTGGACCTGCTTTGTTTAAGACTGATATTTTCATAGAAAATCCTCAAGATACATATCTTGATATGCAAAACTGGTGTAAAGGAATCGTGATTGTGAATAACTTCGTTTTGGGAAGATACTCGAAAATTGGACCTCAGCAGACATTGTACCTTCCGGGTCCATTTTTGCGAAAAGGTTGGAATAAAATTCTTATTTTTGAACACTATAGAGCTGCAGATAAAGTATCGTTCACGGATCAACCTGTATTTAAAACTAGGACATCAAAGAAAAAGGTTATAGAGTGAGCAAAGGCCATAACAAGTTTGAAATAGTGAGTAATTTAACCATGAATGCAATTCAAACAATATACTTAAAATAATGCAGGGACGTCGGTCATATAATGCGAAACCATTAAGATAATATATAGATAACGTACACAAATAGTCTAGAGCAAAAGACTACCACACGCGTCGCGTTGTGTGTGCACTAGTACATGCTACGGTTCGGTCGTATGTTAAGTATGTAGGAGACCTTTTGTGATGAATCCAAGAAAAGGTATCGATGTAAGTAGTTAGAAATTACACATCATTTATTTCGGAGAGCCAATCCTCGAATTGAAGTGAAATGGAATATTACAACAGTTGTTATCATGCTTATTTTTTATCCGTAACCACTTTTTGATAATAACACTAGTAGCGTGATCGCTACATTCATTCTGGTTTTTTGAATCGGCTTGAAAAGATATTATTCGAAATCGTAGGTAGCGTCACTATTTTTGAAGCATCTTCTTAGCACGTCTCCCTAATAGCCTATTTAAGGGTCGCAGTCCTTAGAATTTCGTTTTTACACAAATCAGTTAATTTTAAGGAGACTAAACCCGCAGAACGAGGTTCATTAACCTTATTGATGCTTAGACTACTGTAGTAGCTTCTTTTAAGGGACCACTATATAGCATGTGAATCAGTCGCTTTGTCATTCCAAAGCGTAACATCTAAAAATTGATACTTTTTTGTCTGGGAAATATCGAATGTGGTTATCACACAAATAAACTGTCATAATCAAATTAGCATCATTTTGAAATTCTTATTATAATTGAACTGATGTATTTTGTGTGAGCAATGAGGTTGTATAGTTTCAATGATTTAATAAATGAATTTAAGTGGACACTGCTTTTTATTGTTATTTATGTCACAAAAATATGTTGACAATGCGATAGTGTAACGTCAAGATGCAAGTAAGGACACATCCTTTATTTGAGATCTAAGAACAAGCCCTATCTGAAAAAAAAAGTTATTCCATTTTTCTGCCTATCTGAATAAATTAAACTGAACCATGGTAGGCGAGGACTTGGTAAGACCGCTTGGATAAACATGTTTTAAAATGAGCTTGTACAAAAGTCTCTAAGGAAAATAAATATTTAAATAAACGCAAATATAGGTCTTTTGGGGGTTTTGTCATTCTCAGTTTGACAACTTGCCTGGCATGAGGGTGCGCGTTCACCTTTTGTTGATCGTCAATATGAAACATAACAGTGCACGAAGACACAACTACGATGTCGACTGTCTATGATTGATTTATTGGGATATTTTGGGGAAGCAAATGGAAAAAATAGCGCCAGGTAGCTTGACCTTGCACTTCCCACGCAACGCTGTCATCAGCTCAGATAGGAGTGTTCGTCCCAAGTTAGTATACCTTTGAGCTAGCTACAAAAATGTACTATAAAACAAAAATATTGAATGGGTCAAGTCACCCAAACAGGCCCATATATAATTAGTACATCCTCCGGCAATGCTGCTGAGCCACGCCAGTCAAACACGTCATAAAGTTCTGCTCCTTCCCAAGATGACTACTGAAGAGTCATTTTTCATTCCAAGGCTAGTGACTTTCAACGAGACATTCGATGCTTTGCATCAAGAAGATAATAAGTGTTGTGTCTGGCGCAATGTTCCAGATATCGACTCAACGTTCTTGTCATAAAAAATTCTAACCCAAACGTTATGTCTTTTATCTTTTGGATGGATAACTGCTCCGCCCAAAATAAGAACTAGACGCTTTATAGAATGTTTGCCTATTTGGTGAATGCAGATTGGGGACCGGAAAACATCATTGTAAAGTATTTAAGAAGGCTGAATTAGTACACGGGCAAATAGGACGCGAGTGGAGAAAGCGTAGACAAATATTGGATGTTAACGATTTTGTTGATGTGATAAATGCATCGTCCAAAAAGTTTTGCGTCACAGTGATTTATATCCCTTTATCGATGGCTCCAAACAACGTCGTAAAAATATATCTGGGGAAACAAATATTCCTCTGTTAGACCAAATCAAGGTTGCCGAGTTCCGAAAAGGTTCCAGGTCTCTATTCTTCAAAACATCGTTTGTTGAGACTGACTACGTTGAGGTGACCTTTCTGAAGGGTAAGACGATACTTTAGCGCATATCGCAAACACTTCATTTCTTACTTTAAAATGAAAGATTAGGATGTAACTTTTACGAAAATATCAAGGACTGCTTGCTATTTTATAGAACTTCGAAGTTGGATTTTTGTGGGTAATACTGTTTTATATGATCTTTTTTTATTTTTGTACAAAAGGATGCTCTAAATTATAAGAATATAACATACACTGTATAGTACTAAGGAAAATAGATGTGAAAGTGTAAAAATCCTTGTTTTTTGTAAGAAAAGGTTCAAAACCACACATTAGCTTATTAGCTTAAATGACAGATACAGATACATACATAAATGATAGTATTTACTTAGTAAACTGTGTAGTGCATTGTTTTGTAATTTTTCAATATCTCCTTAAAATGAGATCAAAGTTTTTGCGTTTATAAGAAATATTTGATAGTACAAACAATTCCCAATGGCCATTTTATGAAGCTCATTTCTTGACAGATAAAATAAATGATGTCCATTGTTGCCAAGTTGTACCTTTTTGGGAGAAATACGTAATTAGAAATGAGGTTATTTGCAAAATAAAAGTCTTAATTTATTGTAAATGGCTTGTTTCATGAAAAGTGTTCCCAATATTTACCGAAAAATATATGAAATTTTGAATGCGTCTAAACAGTGAAAAATGCACCAGCGGCTCTCGTGACATAAAAAATACAAAAGGCATCAGCGGTCATTGCATATAAAAATACCCAAAGTCGATTCGTCGATTTGAACCACCTCGACAGGTCAACCATAATTTCTTTATGTTTTCATTATTTAGAGATTTTCAACAGCTACTTTTTCAGTTATTTCTCATATACATCACATTTAATTAGGTAAATTTTGTAACATCAGCTTAACTTTAAATAATTTATCAAGTACATACATACAAAAAGTAAATAGATTAAACTATAATATAGGAAAAACAATAACCGAAGTACTTTTGTGAATGGCATAAGGCATTCTTCAAAAAAGTCTCATTAGCTTACGCTCTCGTAGGGCACAAGGTGGATTTAGTACAGAAAAACCTGCCGGCCACACCTCCAAATGGCACTTTCATGACAATCCTGTACCGATTGCACATTTGTGCGCTAATATATAAGTAAGAATTTGACAAACCAAATTAAGATATATTACTAGCCATGATTTGGCAGCATCGCAAATAGATGGAGAGAATATGACAGTGACGGTGGTGTAGTGATACGAATAATTATCTGAAATAAAAGAAATGACTACTTAACAATGAACTATTTTCATCATTAAAATATTGTAAAAATGCGATATTGCGATGAACAGTGTCACAGTAACTCAGTGTATGTTATATTCATATAATTTTGAACAATCTTTTGCACAAACAAGAAGAAAACAGCTTATAAAGCAGTATATTCGACGGTATTAGCACCCAAAATGCAACTTCAAAGTTCTATAAAATAGCAAGCAGAGGGTTCCTTAAAGAAAAAACGATACCAGCAGCCTGCAGCTTCTAGTAATGACAGAGGCATCAAAAGCAAAAAACTACAAATAGTATAAGAACTGTGTGCTTCGATGGAATCCAGGAGACAGCTATTTTGGAGACAATTACCAACGAACGATGATGTTCCTGATCTTTTATGTCGATCGAGATCATCTGCATAAAAGCAACAGCATCCTAACTTTTCAAGATAGTGGCATCCCATTAAAACTGTAAAGAATCGACAAGGATCTTGAGTATCTGAATTCCAATGTGAAAAACAAGTAATTTTATTTACTGTAGTATTTACTTGTATTCTATGACAATAAAATTTTAAACCAAAGCATATAATTTAACTCCGACTATCAAAATCAGAATCAGAGAGATGCTACCTTTTCGTAAAGTGTCTGACTGTTTGCCGACAGCTAATCCGCTGTTCGTACAGATTCTGTACTACAGAACCTTCTGACAGATCAGAGGACACCAGTCAACCAGTGACAGTGACAGGTATCAGAGTGTGTCAAAACTATCTTGAGGACTGAAATTGCTTCGCAAAATGCATTTAATGATCGATTACTCTTCTCTAATGGACGATTTGAGGACACCTTCGCAGCGACGGACCGTTAGCGATCTAGCTACGTCAACGGGCTTTGCTCCTCAGAGCACTCTTCCATGGTGTTGCCGCGCGATGTGTCTGCCTGACTACGGCCTCTCATCGCCGTCGAACTTCGTACATTCAAAACTGGCTGATAAGTCCGATTCTTTGTTCCGAAATTGTCGAGATCTTGTAACAATCCACAATACAGTTCAAAACTAGGAATAACAAAGTTTCTTTAAGCTCCTCAAAGCAGCCGCGGTGCCTTGGCATGTAGGCTCCACTTGCGCAGCTGAGCAATATACCAAAAAGATAAAGACCTTGAAGATCTACAGGAGCAGAGAATGAAACCCAAAAACCTGAATTTTGTGGATAAAACAGTGCCACAATTCAACAGCAATAAGTTTGTGTAACATTTTCGGGTGAGCAAGTGGAAGAAGAAATTTCAATGAAGTTCCACTTTATTATCAAGCAGCGCCAAAGTGCTTTGTGCTCAATATTTTGTTTATTGACCCGGTAATGGCAAAATCAAGATTATGAATACAGTATGAAAAATCCGAACAATACAGGACATAACTTTCAAGAACCATACTTAATACGATTTTTGTGATCACTAATCTTTTGAAAATTTTTGTTACAGTTGCAAAATGCGAAATTACGTGATTTAAGTCATACTTCTATGTATTTTCGTAGTCTCAGTTCTTTTTAGCTTTTTAGTATATAACACCCTTTGTTATTCAAAGACGTTATTAAGTCCTTGTAGTATTTTGACTTCTTTCTTATAGTGAGAGTCTGCATAGACAGGGCGATTCAAATTCGGCACTCGCCATTGGGATCTTGTAAGGTGTAAAGGATACGAAGTCTTTTAAATGGGGTAGTCAACGCAATGACACTTAGAAAGTGTCGAAATTCAAAGTACTTCAGGAACTCAGTTTTCACAAAATCGTTTTGATTTTTTCCGGAATTTATATATATTTGTATTTTAAAATAAATTGCATATTAACATTGCCACGTTTTCTCCTCTACAAGAAGGGATAATCAGAATTTCTATATGGCGGTTCGTCCCTTGTCCTCCACCATCAACTTTATTATTTCTTAAGGACGCTATATTGCATTTTTGCACCGATGAATGGAGTTTTTAATTTGATAAAAAAAATCCATAATGCGTCATACGTTGACATTGCTAAACCTTAGTTACTTTAGAAAAAAATAGAATTTCTTAGGTAGGTCTTGAAATGATCATATATTTGGTTCGCTCACCAGATTTATCCCAAGATCGCTTTATTTTTTTTCTGACTTTATTTGAGAAGGAATTTCTAAATAAATTGCATATTGTCATTGTTGCGTTGCCAAATTTTCATTTCTTCTTTCGACTTCCATCATCAACTTCGTTTTTTCATACGGACGCTATACCTATTGGAATTTTGTACATTCAAATTGAGTTTTCAGCCCTAAATTCAGTTTTTCGTTAGTCGACCATACATTTTTTGTTAGATGAAAATGATAAGGAAATAAAAAGTTATGGTGAAACCTGAACACGAAATGAAAATTTTATTGATGGTAATAACAATAATAACCATAACTAAGCAGAGGTCTCCACAGTTTTGCTACCCAACTAGCAAAGTAGTGCGATAAGCTTTTGGTAAAAGAACTGTTCAGCCGTAAAAGCTCTCTATTGTTGTTGCCTGAACACCAAAATGCTGGCTTAATGTTGTGTGGAATGCAAATTTTCTTTCTGCATCATACTCTAAAATGAGGTGTTTCAAATATTCTTACAGCATAGTTATACAACACCTTATAGGTCAAAACGGAACTGTTGCATAAACGTTTATACAACTATTTTATACGGCATATTTGCGCGGTAGTCAAAATAGTTGTGTTGGCGTCTATAAGAAAACACCAAGTTGATGCTGGAGGACAAGACACGAAACGACATATTGAAATTCTAATTCTAAATCCCACCACAAATAAAGTCAGGAGAAGATCAAAAAACCATTTTAGGAAATTCCGTTTTTACGTCTCTTTGCGGAAGTACCTTCAACTTCAAAACTTTCTAAGCGACATTTTGCTGATTATCTGAATACGCAACTTTGCCCCTATTTAAGCGACTTCATATCCCTTATAGTTGCTGAGATCCCATTGGTGAGGGTCGAATTTGAAATACCCTGGATAGGGAAAGTATTATTTTCACCCCAGCAGAAACAATCGGCCACTTCCTCTTCGTGGTCACCCGTGAAAAAAAGCTGTATCACAAAATTTCCAGAATTCGTATTTTTTTTTTTTTTGATCAGCATTAGGTTGCACTTACATAGCAGGAATATATAAATACTTTTTGTCCATACACTTCGAGGCTGGGCCACAATGAAACAGGGAACAAAAACACTAATATGCAAGTTTTATTAAAAGTTATTCACAATACTTTCTCATGTATAATCTCTGCAGACGTTTATTTAGAATTCTTACTATGTATTTACTTCTTCAACTTGTCATTCGATGTAAGGAATCATATTTTTTCGAATTTAAGTTGATACTTTTCAAATGGGAATTTAATAGGAATTACTGAATAAATCTACTTGACATTTTTGGTTGCTGTTATTTTTTTTAGAGTGTCCCATGTTTTCCTACCTAGAGAAAAATTCGGGCACATTTGGGCAGTTGGACGATACATCCTAAATCATTCTCGTTTACAGCAAATGTACATACCCAACTCTTCTAAAATTGTCTACCTCATTCTGAAAAATTTTACATTCGAATAATTATTATACATGATTTCGAGCTCTGAGAATTTACTGGCAAATTATCTGCTGACTAATTTGAAAGTCATCAAACAGTCAGAAGTTTCTGTACGATCGGCGGATTAGTTGTCGGTAATCGGTCTTACCTCCCTCAGCCAACTCGTAACCTCATAAATAAATAAATAGCGTTTATTGCCCAACAGTTAAGGAAACAATTTTCAGGACAACCCTAAGTTAAATCAAAATAACAAGAACAGAAAGCAACTAAAGAAAAAAAAAACAAACAAGAAAAAGAAGCAAAAAAAACATATTTCACTCAGGTGAGTAACATATCATAAATTATCCAAGCAATTTCTAGCTACTCCCAGAATGCTGTTCAAACTGTCAGCATGTATGTCACAATAATTTGATATTGGATTAAAAGTTTCACACATCACATATATGGGTGCCTTCAAAAACAAATTTGTGCGAGCCCTGTCGCAATAAAATGTTTTAGCTGTACGAGTTTGAATAGATGGAACATTAAAGTTTATTTGAGCCACAATCTCATTAGCATCAATTTGATTGTGAAGTAGTTTATGCAAGTACATAATTGATACACACTTCCTTCTCAGTTCTAAAGACTGCAGTTGAAACCTAGACAATAACAAACTTTCAGATATACCACGTTCAGGATATATACCGTCAACTTTAAAAGATAAAAATTTTACAAACTTTCTCTGAACATGCTCAAGAGAATCAATGTAGCAGTTGTAAATTGGGTTCCAAATTAACGATGCATATTCCAATTTCGATCTAATATATGCTGAATACAAAACCAACAGTGACTCTGGGCGGCTAAAGCTTCTACAGCTTCTCACAATAAAACCGTACGCCCGCGAAGCTTCACTCACCTTTTGAGCTATGTGGAGTGAAAAATTAAGTTTATGGTCAAAATCTACACCCAAATCCTTAATTGAGTTATAACGATTTATGTAAGCATCCCCAACTCTATAACTAAATTTACAAGCAGAAGTTTTCCTGGAAAAGCTGACTACACTACACTTAGACGCACTAAGAAATAAATTATTCTCGTCACACCAAGCCACTAGGGAACCAATATCACGCTGAAGTGCAATACAATCAGTCTCAGACTCAATATTCCTGAATAATTTCAAATCATCCGCAAACAGCAGCTTTTTACAACTTAAATAATGCACAACATCATCAATAAATAAGGTAAACAATAAAGGACCAAGATTTGAACCCTGAGGCACTCCCGATTTAGTTATATACTGGTACGACTTGAACCCACTAAAAGTAACATATTGCTTCCTTTCATGAAGATAACTTTGAATGAGTGCTAGAGCTGATGAATGGAATCCATAATAAAAAAGTTTATTCGAAAGTATACAATGCTCCACCCTATCGAACGCTTTAGCAAAATCGGTATATACTACATCTAGTTGACCTTGCCGATCGACACATTCAATAGCGAACTGAGTGAACATTGTTAAATTAGTTACTGTGGATCTCTTAGTAAGAAAACCATGCTAAAAAGGGGACAGATTTATGAACTGCGGAGTAAATTCTATTATGCAATATTATCTCCAGCAATTTGGAGAAATTCGGCAATATTGCCACCGCTCTATAGTTTTTAATATCAGTATTATCCCCTGATTTGAAAATAGATGTAGCTCTAGAAAGTTTCCAAATATCAGGGAATGTGTTGGTTTCTATAGTCCGATTGTATATTTTCAATAAGGGCTTAACAAAGACATGAATACAATCTTTGACTATGAACGAGAGGATGTTGTCTGGGCCGGCCGTTACTATATTCTTGAGTTTTTTAGATGCAGCAATAATCTCATTTTCATGAATTTATTGAAAAATATGTTAACCTAACTAGTAGGATTCCTGCCTTCAATAAAATCATTAGGAGTAGATGGATCAACAAAAACTCTATTAACAAAATCTGCAAATGCATTGACAGCACAGTAAGGATCGTTCAGTGAGACGTCATTCAACTTCATTTTACCAGGAATCTTAGTCGTTCGATTTTTTGTATGCATGAAGCTCCAAAAATGTTTAGGATCTTGAGAGATGGACATCTCAACATTACGGGTATAATTTTTATAGGCCACAGATATTTGACGCTTTACCTCAGATCTAAGACGTTTGTACTGTTCATGGTAGACGGTTATTGTGACTCTTTGTACTTCTTGTATAACTTTGCTTTATGCTTGACTTTCCTAATAATTTCGCTAGTGTACCACACAGTACTTATGACTAACAGATTTATATTTGGGTACGTAAATATCAAAGATAGAGTATAAAAATTCTCTCATGTACCCAATCTATACAGACAGCGATGTGTCAGTGCCAGCTAACTGAGTATACTAGGTCATGACTTGTCGCCGACTATCAGTTTGCTGATGGTTAGCAAACAGGCTAAATGAACAAACCATAATACAGATTATAGATAAGAATTGTTTCAAAAGTTGGAAAGGGCAGATTTTTTTCCTTTACAAGACGTTTTTTTACAATTAGTGATTTAAGTGTACCTAACGGCTTGAAAAAAAATGTTCTTGATTTCTGTAAAAGTCACAAAAACGAGTTAGTGCCTTTCGCCATTACACGGGAGGATTATATGCTAGAAAAATAAACTCTAATAGGTGGGAACGTCTCAAAATTATGACCATTTCCAAGTCTTTACGCCAAAATGTAGTCTAGTGTGATATACGCACCCGATTTACCCAAAGAACAGCCTTTGGTCGAGATCGCAGAATACGGTAGCATTTTTGAAGCTGTGAAACTTAGTATCGTTCCATTACTATAGATTTTAGAATAATTCATTCTCGATTGTTAAAATATGTTATCTAGCACAAAACGTAATCAGTGTTATCTCAGTTCAGCTTATTATTAATTCTGATTTGTAACCCGATGTTCATGATTAGGTCGAACACAATCATTCTACATATATTTGGATATGGCTTTGCTTTATGCAATAATCATTACCGTACTTCTGGTAAGTTCCAATTATACTTGAAATATGTGAATTTAATTTTACAATTATAAGACTTGTGCGTTTTTCATGAGAAGTTTTGTGCGATACGTCTTTTGGTTTCTGTACGTCCTAAGAAGACCAAAATCTAAACGAAAAAAGGTAATTTAGCTGAAAAATTCCTACGGAATATTGCTGAAAGTGAAGAAGTAGTGGGCAAACTTTTAACCCAACTTCCACCCGTAAGCAAGAGCAGTATTGTGGTCACGAATACTTACGAATCACATATCAAGTTTTTGGAAGGTATTGTGGTGCTCTTGTTGCTCATTCCTATCGGTCTATTCGTCTGTCTGTTTGGTATAGTCAACGCCAAACAAAGTGGCGTGCACGTCATCACGATAAAAATTCCCCGACCTAATGCCTAGGTTTCTATCACAAACAATTGCTCTATTGCAGTTTCATATTAATGTGATATATAAATTGTAAAATGGTCATTACTCTCTTATTATGGTTAATTTTCATATAAACATTGTTATTAAAATATCACATAAGTTGCTTTCTGATAAATTTACACGCATTATGCGAAATAAAATGTTTTGCAAACGCTCCAATCACTTATCGACATGTAAACGCACTAAACCGATTTTGCAGCGTTGACACATTGTCACCTTGAAACTTATTTAAACTGGGAACTGACATTTGTATTAATTTTGACACTGAATCAATTTGTGGCATTTCAAATCTTTATAAATCCTTTGGCCCCGCATACTGTAAATCAACAACTGTTTGTTTCAAAACAAAATTATTCATTTTACGAGTAGATAAAGGCAATTTTGGTATATAAAGATGCCCAAACAGTTAAATAGTCGGTGTAAGGAACTCGTGGCCTCGTTAATGCACTACTTTGAGCAAGAAAGGGACAACAACGGGCCTTTGTTGCCTTTAAATGCTGTTCAAGAGGTAGGTTACTAATAATTATATGTAATGTATATTAATAATAGTGAAATTTTATTTCATTTTTTGTAGCGTGTTGCTGCTGCTTTAAAAATTAGTTTAAGGACAGTTAGTCGTATTTCCGAGGGTGTGAAAAGTGATGCAAATTTAGAATCGCCCAAGAAAAAGCGGAGTTATATTAAACGTGTAACCAACACAGCGACATTGGATACAAGTGCCATTCGAGAAGTGATCTATAATATGTATCACAAAAGTAAGATCTTATTATAATAACTTATCAGAAATTTGCATTAATTTGTTAACTAAATTATAATGTCATATTACACATGGTTTCAGAAGAACAAGTTACGATACAAACTTTATGGTCTCGATTAAGAGATAGGGCATTATTTGATGGTAGTGCCACGTCTTTAAGGCGGTTGCTTAGAGATCTTGGATTTAAGTGGCTTAAGGACAATCCGCGACGAGGGCTCATGGAACTACCAAGTATAGCTTTGAAAAGGGTGGAATTTCTAAGGCAATACAATCAAGCCAAGGTTGAGCCCTTATACCAGTTTGTCTTCCTCGATGAAACTTGGATATTTCAAAATGGGACCATAGGTCGCTCTTGGCAAAATGGAAACCAAAAAAGCGTGAAAGCTATTAAAACAGATGGTAAAAGGTATGTTCTTTTACACAATTTGCACTATAAAATTTAAAACTAATATATTTTAGATACATTATATTACATGCTGGAAATGAAAATGGGTTTATTGAGGGTAGTGAAGCGATATTTTCTTCGAAAACAAAATTGAGCGATTACCATGGAGAGATGAACCATGACAATTTTTTGAAATGGTTTCAACATCAGTTATTAGAAAAATTGGAGAGTCCATCTATGATTATACTGGATAACGCCCCTTATCACAGCATGATATTGAACAAAGTGCCCAACAATTCATGGACAAAAAAATATATCCAAGACTGGTTGACAAATCAAAACATACCATTTTTAAACACAATGTTTAAAACAGAGCTATTGAGTATTGTTGCTCGGTACATAATGCTTCTTAATTATATATATTTTGGTCGACAGTTTATATTTCTTTTGTTTATTCCTATTCTTAAAATAACTGCTTTTTTAGAAACAAACCACCTAAAATATACGTGATTGATGAATTGGCGGAACAACATGGGCACAAAGTTCTTCGCCTGCCTCCTTACCATTGTATATTTAACCCTATTGAGTTAATTTGGGGCATAGCAAAAGGTTACTATAACAGACATATTGGTAGAGATGGTAACAGTGAAAAAGACTGTTTGGATATGTGGAACGAGGCTCTACAAACGGTTACCCCAGACATGTGGAAAAATAGTGTTCGACATACTGAGCAAGAAATTTTTAAATGGTATGAAAGAGAACGAATTTTTGATCGACCAGACATCGAACCTTTAATAATCAACTTAGAGAGTGATGAAGATTCAGATTCAGACAGCGCTGAAGAAAGAAACTCCGACTAACTTTATTGTACAGAAAAAGCTTGCACCAGTAGCTTACCTAATTTTAGAATGCATTTTTCTGTATGAATTCTGTAAAATAAATACCATGCATAAAATTTGGAGGACCCCATTTGGATTTTTATTCAGTACCTTTAAGCTATCAATTAAATATGGTAGTTTCATAGTGTCATCTGATCAATAATTGTCATACTTAATGATTATGCAAGTACAGATCTATAATTTTATTATACTATTATTTTTGTTTTCATTTGAGGTTAATATTGCTTATAAACCTAGATATGTAAATAATAAATTTTATTATTTTACAAAAAGTTTGGCAACAATGTAAATTTTTCAACACACCCACCTTGATGACGTGCACGCCACTTTGTTTGACGTTGACTATAGGCATTATTATAACAGCGAAATCTGAGAAACGGCTATATTGATTTTGCAGATTATTCAGTAGCGATAAAATTTTATGTTTTCAGACTTTGTAGCCATCTTTTTGCATAGTAAAAAAATATTGGAAGTGTCAAAAACTCCCGTGAATCCCCAACGTTTTTGCAAGTTTTTCGACTCCAGGGCGCTGTCGGATGTTAAATATGTTTGCTGAAATCACCTGACGTAGTTTGAGTCCTACCACACATCTAAGGACTGCAAAGAAAAATTGATGATTGATTTATAATAATACGTTTTGAGCAAAGCATATTAATGTCTTGCCGAGCAAAATAAGTATCGTTCTTTAGCATAATAAACGCGAATGCATTAGAAATACCGAGTCAGCTTAACCGACATTCTTGTTTTACAATACCTACATATATCACAAGATTTCTACCCCACTACTGAATTCCCGTAACTACGGCATCCATCTGGTTGCATCATAGGTAAATGTGTACAAAAAAAAGAGGCATGTCCATAATTTTCCGATTTATGTCAATACTAGTCGGGAGGCGTAATTCTGTCCTCATAAGCATAAAAAATGACGTCAAGTAGGTTTACTTTCGACTTTCCAAGGAACGCCGTTATCAGGTCGTGAAGGGTTATGTTCAACATAAGCTAGACCCCCTGAGAAAAAATCAGTCCACAGTCCGGTAGTGCTTCTGGGGACGTCAGACGAGGCAGAGCATAGGAAACACTATGCTGTTAAGGGCTAATGTATCGAGAAGTTTATGATGTGTGAAATATGTTTAATAGGTGCGTAGAATTGCCAAGGTTGGTAGCGAATAAATGTATTCTCATAAAAATGAGATAAGCCTTCCCCACCCCTATAGCCCTCACTCCCAAGATTTTTTCCTCTAAAATATTTTTTTGAGAACGATTGGGATCATCTGAAGTGTCAAAAAACGAAGTTTGAGCCAGTTTCATTCTATTTTCTGGCCTTTTCCTCGGCCGCCACTAGACCAATGTTCAAAAACTAAAGCTTTAGAATGATAATAATAATTTATTGGTGCTATTTTACAAAAATGTGTTTGCATAGGTTAATCAAAGTAGAACAGAAGAGAGTAAGCAAAACCAACAAACAATACGTAAATAAGACGACCATAGAACATAAAGTGGCAATAAAAGATAAAAGTTAATAAAACGAAAGTTAAAATTTAGATGAACAATAAATGGAGATGGGTAAAATAGCGACTAAATACAATTAAAATTGAGCCCGGCTGGAAAAATTGAAGTTAGGAAGTCTTCGACGTCAAATAAAGCTTTGTATAGTAGGAAACATTTCACAGTTCTGCCAAATTGTTCAGAATCGAAAGACTTTATTTTATTTGTATAATTTCAAACCGTGGTTAGCACCATTCGTAGTTTTGGAAAAGCGATGAAGATTTGGACGCAACTGGTCTTTGTTTCTGGTGTTGCAATTATGAGTATTTTGATGAGCTGTATAACTGTGATAGTGAGCTTTAACACGCATGAGTCAAGCATAGATGTATATGCGAGGCAATATCATGATATTAAATTTAAAGAATACATTCCTGCAAGGATTCCTGTACCGAAAATGATGATATATGATATATATATATATATATATATATATATATATATATATATATATGAATCTACTGCATATACTCTGTAAGCCAAAAACTCTGGGCATGTGTGGATCCCATGCCAGAATGACGTACGTTATCCTACTGTGGAAGTATGCATGGTAACTGACGATCAGTGTTGTCTGAGACACTGAATTTATCAGATTACGTATAAGATAAATAGTTTTTGTCAGAGATTTTGTAACATGATTTACATGCTTATCACGACTCAAGAGTGAACATAGGTTATAAGATTAACGGACAAACAGACCGACGGAAGTGAGTGACATGGTTTTTCGTGATGTATAAGTCATATAACAACCAAAAAACGTACTCTCATTTTAAAATATTTTCGCGATAACAATGGGTTATTTCTAAAAGGTTTCTATTAACAAGGCTCTAAAAACTGTTTGACTCATGTTAGTCTCGGCACAGGTATCATGTTTCTTGAAAAGTGACGTTATATCGACATTATATTGTTGTTTTGACATTATATAGGTTTTTCTACAAGATGTTAACTTAGCACTTAGTTGTACGTGTGGCGTAAACGTCATGAGGCTT